GCCTCCAGGATTTTTTTATTAAATTATGGGGCCAATATTAAACCAAATTTTTGCCTCAATCATTATTAGGGTATCTGTTATGACTTTAATCTATTTTTTCATGATTTCCAAAAAATAAGTAGAATCAGGTGAGCGACACAGGCTCTTGAGAGCCTTTAGTTCTTATCACAAATATCTCCATGTGAGAAATAGATAAAAGGCCTTAACCATAAGAGAATATACAGTTTAGCAACATCTGTGAGGAGGCTGAACAAGAGTTTGGCATAGTTGGAATGTCCAGTGGCAAATATTTCATGCATATTCAGGAAGAAGAAAAATTAACAATATAAACATGAGGAGATGTGTTATGATTGCCAATGAGACAACTACTTGTATATCCACCAAAGTTCAAATGAAGTGGATGTAAGCAATTATAGGCAACAGTATGGACTTCAACAAGTTGACTTTGATGAAAGTTGGTAATTTTGGACTTCTGTTGGAAAAAAAAAAGTATTTTTGCTTTTTGTTACAAGTGTTTTGAATAGGCAAAAATTGTGGCTCTCACCCTTCATGAGGCACAGCTTGAATTTGTCAGCATACATGATGAATCTTTGTACAAATGTATATCCTGTAATTTTTATGATACTACAATGTAGTAAAAGTTAACTCTATACATAGTTCCTATAACATACTTAAAACAGAAGCTGTCAACATGCCAGTATACCAGGTTTTACAGTTTTTTACTGTCATTGTTAAAGCAAGCAAAGTCCAACACTCCTGAACAGCAAAATTAAAATTTTGAAAGAACTTGATCAAGCTCTGTAAAGTTATTGCACAGTATCAAGGACCATAACTTCTAAAAAGTAAAAGGGAAATATTAAGCTTGACCCCCATTTGTCATTAGTAACAACATATTTAAATGTGAAAAGTATTGGTTGGAAAGTTCTGAAGTTATTGCAGAGAGACATTAAGTGCCAATTTCCAATTTCGATCAAGTACCATAACTCCATAAAGACTGAAGTCAAAATCATCAATATCGATGTTGAATTTTGTCATCAGTAACCATGGTAACAACATATTTAAATTTGAAAAGCATTGATTGAAAGTGTCTCAACTGCATGGAAACATTTAAAGTGCCATTTTCCATTCAAACAAGGACAAAAACTCTAGAAAACAAAAGCGAAAATAACCTTCTTAGCCTCATTTTGTCATCAGAAACTTGAAAAGAATTGGTTAAAAAGTTCTCAAGTTATTGCATGGAAACAGCTGTAGCCACTCACCCCAAAAGTTCTACCCCAATTTTATAACCATTATTTCCATTGAAAGACCTAGTTGAAATTTGGATAAATGGATATTTTATTTTTTGTGAAAAGTTTTTTACTTGCTCGTATTTCAAATAATGAAAATCCCTTAGCTCTATAAATTGAAATTATGTTAGAGTTCATTAAGTTTTGTAAATGGTCAGTTCAGTTTTATTGTATGAAATATGAACTATAAGAAGTTCTTCAGACAGAATAATAATCAACTACAACTCTTCCATTCTAAAAGAAGTCACTTCTTGGAGTGAATACAGTGAGAAATGGACCCTATAATACGGTGACCTATAGTTGTTAACTTCTATGTCATTTTTGTATCTAAATATTTACATCATAAATGCTTCAAAATTGACTGGTTTGAAACTCTGTGATAATACCAAGGGATATATTCATACTAAAAAGTAGTAAAACAGTAAAAAGACAAAGTGTACTTTTGTTTATTTTCATTGCTGTTTATTGCTATGTTGCTGTCATATTGACCTTTACCTAATGCCTTTTTTATTCCTTTTATTATATTACTAGTATAGGACTTGTAGATTATGCAAAGGAGAATGATTTGTTTTAGTATTGCTTCTGACAGCTTAGAAAAATGTTGTGTTACATTTTCAAAGACCATACATGTTAACATGTTTCATTCATTTATTGGTAAGAGTAGTAAAATATGTAAGAGTCACACTTATAGTGACGAATTTTATCTTGAGGGTTAATATATTGTAGTAATAATGTACTATAGTCCTTTGAGAAAAGGGCAATGTTTTTCAGTACAATGACTGTTCAATCATCTTACCCTTGACAATGAAGAGCAACAAGGTACTCCAAATTAACTAGTGTTTCACCAACAGGAAGTTATGAGTCATGTGGTCAAGCAGCTGTTTCACTGCACTTTAAACTTTTTTAAATGATTGAACACCATCTATTCCTTTTAATGACAAAAGAAGTTTTCTTCATTGATCATGGTACATTTTGTAGTTTTTTTAATGAGGGATTTTCATATCATTGGTTTTAGTAATTATGCCCCCGCCGTAGCGGAGGGGTCATTAAGTTTTACCCTTGTCCGTCTGTACGTCCGTCCGTACGTCCGTACGTACATCCCGAAATTGGTTTCCGTTCTCTAACTTGAGTTTGCCTCAACCAAATGTTATGAAACTTATACACAATGCTTATTACCACAAAACACAGATCAAGTTTGAATTTTGGTGGCGTCACTTTAACTGATCTAGAGTTATGCCCCTTTATAAAAGGAAATATTGCAAAATTTTTAGTTTCCGTTCTCTAACTTAAGTTTGCCTCAACCAAATGTTATGAAACTTATACACAATGCTTATTACCACAAAACACAGATCAAGTTTGAATTTTGGTGGCGTCACTTTAACTGATCTAGAGTTATGCCCCTTTATAAAAGGAAATATTGCAAAATGTTTAGTTTCCGTTCTCTAACTTAAGTTTGCCTCAACCAAATGTGATGAAACTTATACACAATGCTTATTACCACAAAACACAGATCAAGTTTGAATTTTGGTGGCATCACTTTAACCGATCTAGAGTTATGCCCCTTTATAAATGGAAAAATTGCAAAATTTTTATTTTCTTCTAAATATCAAGTTTATAATATATTTTTAAAATTGGAGTTATCTTCCTTTGACCATGATTATAGTTGAATCAACTACAATCAATGCTTTATACAATGCAATGTTTAATTTTGACTTCCACTGATAAAACACAGATCAAGTTGAATTTGGGTAGTGTCACTTTAACCATTATTGAGTTATGCCCCTTTATAAATCGAAAGATTGCAAAATTTTAATTTCCATTCTGTAACTGAAGTTTTCCCCAGCCAAACATTATGAAACCTATACACAATATTCATTACCACAAAACTCAGTAAAGATCAAGTACAATTTTTTTGTTTCCGTTCTCTAACTTGAGTTTGCCTCAACCAAATGTTATGAAACTTATACACAATGCTTATTACTACATAATACAGATTAAGTACGAAATTAGGTGGCAACACTTTTATCATTCTAGAGTTATGTCCTTTTATAAACATAAAAATTGCTGAATTTTTTAGTTTGTCTCAACCAAATGTTGTAAAACTTATACACACTCACGTTAGAGTTATGCGTGTTTACAAATAGAAAAATTGCTGAATTTTTAGTTTCTGTTCTCTACTTAAGTTAGCCTCAACCAAATGTTATGAGACTTACACACAATGCTTATTACCACAAAACTCAGATCAAATTAAATTTGGGTAGCGTCACTTTTTCCGTTCTTCAGTTATGTCCCTTTATAACTATATGATATGCAAGCGGGGGCATCATCTGTGTCCACATGTGGACACTATCCACATTTATTTTTTATCTGAAGTATATGTATTCCTCCATTATTGTTTCAAATGTAAAACAACTCAACCAAGTAGTACAAGCAAATTGTAGAATTTCATTAATCAATTTTTTTGGTTATGAATCACAGTATTGTCATTAGGATTATATCATGAATAAGAAAACTTGCATTAATTCTTTCTAACAGGACAAACATGTACTGTTTTCTGAGTTATGAATAAAAGTAAAATGTAACTGATTTTAATAATACATAGTCACTCTGAGCTATACTCAGACCTTTAAATGGTACTTTTTGTTGAGGATGCAACATTTGTCACGGAAGCCAGACAAATTGATCATGATCTCAAATTACATCGCTGCCATTGTTAAGATTTTGAAAATGTGTTTTTATTTTATTCTATATTTTACTGATAAGTTGAATTAGATTTTTTCAAAGTTCACATTTAAATTTAGTCCAGAATTACATTTTTTAGACATCAATAACTTTGTTAAACCTTCATGGAATAATTTGAAACTTAAAAATAAGCTTTTTCAAGATCAAGAACTAGCATCTGAAAAAAAAGGTTAGAATTTTGTCTCATCTGCCTTTTTGGTATGCAGTTGTATTTTTAAGCATTTACACATCTTATTTCCATTTTCATTTGAATATTTGCATAATATTATTAAAATTACATACAGGTGAGACACATCTGTGTGTCAACAGTTTATTTTATGTAGCAAAACATATATCTTTTCAGTAAAATTTTTGCAAAGTTTTTGTGTAATTAACAATGTTTGCCTTGAAAATATTGAAATGGTACTTATTTTAAAAATGATTAAAAACAATGTTTACCATATTCTTGGCTGATGATATATATCATTTATATAAGTGCTTTTTCTGGCATGACTTTAGGATAAAGTTACTTCCTTTAGCATGTTTAGACATTTATTATGTCAAATAATATTTGAAAATACAAAAAAAAATAGAACCAGTAACACCCTCTTATCAATTGACTACCAAAAAGTTTTAATATATACATTGTGCTTGTCAAATAAATAACAGTTCATTTTGATCACTTGGCCATCTGAAAAATTGTATTATACATTGTTCTTGACATAGCAGTCTTTTACTCTGTACATACTGATCATGGTTCCAGGAGACAACTTCTATCTTCTAAATATCACAATAATTAGAAATAAAAGATTGAAAATGTATTGATACTATGGATTTTAATAACCATCACTAAAAATATTTTTGGAGGAACATACTTCCCCTGAAATTGTTTTAATCAAAATGTAGAACCTACAGCTTTACCTATGCATTGTGTGCAAGTTTGATTTGGCCTTAAGCTGTCATGGTTTTATATATCTAAAATTTGTTTTTCAGACTAAACATATAGAGAAAGCAACAGTCATATTTGATGCCTTCAAAAAGCATTTTGTGATAGATATTCATTTAAATAGGTAAGGATTAAAGAGACTTTTGTGTTTACGTTATTTGGTGATAAATTCGAGATAAATGGATATGTACTAGTTTAATAACATGTATTTATTTGTACAATCCATATGTGCACTGAAGTCATGAGTATAAAACATATACCAACAAGCACAAAAGGTGTTTGTAATCTGAGTTTTCATACCATGTGTAACTTAATGCAACAATAGAAATAATATATCTTTTATAATAAAGTGTGTTCAGTACTGTTGTAGGTGTGCCCCAAATTTTTTTAATTACAATTTTAAATAGTGTTGTGATACAATAATGATTTATCACTGCTTTGCGTTTGTCATATATTCATAACATTGAATGTTTATCTATTTTAGGTTTTTATTCACAAAGTCTTATATTGAAAAAACCTTTAATGAAAGAAATGAGCCTGTGATAAGAAAACCAACGAATCAAGTAAGTCAAAAATGTAACTATACCACATGATCTATCTAGTGATCTGATTGACCCTTATTCATTCATCAGCTCCAAAACACCATTTGATTTTTTTTGTACAGTTATTATCCTTTGACTCTTAGGACTGTCTTTACTTAACTTTGAATGCTACATATATTTTTGTTAGGCTATTTAGCTCACCTGGCCCTTTCAAGTGAGCTTTTCTCATCACTTGGTGTCCGTCGTCAGTTTTCGGCATCTGTTAACTTTTACAAAAATCTTCTCCTAAAACTACTGGCCAGTGGGCCAATTGGAACCAAACTTAGCCACAATCATCACTAGGTTATCTAGCTTAACAATTGTGTCCGATTGCCCTGCTTGACGACCAACATGGCTAAAAATAGAACATAGTGGTAAAATGCAATGTATTTGGCAATTATCTTGAAAACCATTAAAGTTAGAGAAAATCTGACAGGGGCAAAAATGTTGAGAATGATGAGATCTACCCTAATGACTGATAAAACTGTCAGACGACTTCTTACAAAAACTACGAATTTTACCAATTTTTTGAATATTTGACCAAAAATCTTGAAAATTATTATCGATAGAAAGAAACTTTAGATAACAAAAATGATCAGCAAGATAAGATCTACATATAAGTCAATATGATCAAAATTGTTAGTTGACATCTTATTGAAGTTATTGACCTTTAATGAAGATTTTTCCCAATTTTTTGCATTTTTGCTTATTGTCTTGAAAGATAGAAATTTTAAATAGCAAAAATGATCAGCAAGACAAGATCTACAAATAAGTCATAAGACCGATGTCATTGGTTGACTCCTTATTGAAGTTATTGCCCTTTAATGACGATTTTTCACAATTTTTCATTTTTGCCAACTATCTTGAAAACTATAATAGATAGATAATAAACTTTTAAAGCTAAAATGATCAGCAAGACAAGATCTACAAATAAGCCATCAAGGCTGAAATCTTCAGTTGACTCTTTATTGGAGTTATTGCCCTTTAATTATAATTTTTACCATTTTTTTGGTGTTTTTTGCCTAATATCTTCAAAACTATAATTTATAAATAGAAACTTTAAAAAAGAAAATGATCAGCAGGATAACATCTACAAATACATAAACTTGGATTAAATTGTCAGTTAACCCTTAATACTGTTATTCCCCTTTAATGATGATTTTTACAAAAAAAGTGGCAATTACTGAAAATGCAGGCGAGCGGCATAGGCTCTTTATAGCCTCTAGTTTTTTAATCCTAAACGAAATTACCTTTTTCAATTGAACTATATTAGAGGACAACAATGATTTACTAAGACCTGACCAAAAATGACATTATGCTATGTGTTAACAAGCAAAGACATACTGTGAATTCAGTAATTAATGCGTGCATTTATTATTGTTAATCCTTTACCATTGGTAAGAATGCAAAATCTAATAAATGTCATTGCAAAAATTTTAAGATGGAAAATTACTTCTGAAATTATGAATGCAAGTTTATATTATTATAATTGTAAACCTGATACTGTAGTATTTTTCACAATAATTAAAAACATCGCAATCATTTCAAAATTTACAGTAGTTGGTTTGTAGTATTACAATGCAGCTTTCTTTTGTATTTATATGGCTTAAATGGACTTAATCATAGAGGAAAACGTTTATTTTTTGGCTTAAAAGTTTGAATAGATAAGAATGAAAAAATATATTCAAAAATTGTATGATTACTTAAAACAAATTTTTATAAACAATTTCCATAGGTGTTGCACTTATTAAAGATATAAAGGAATAAATATTTTATTCCAACCATATTTCAGTTTTTAAAAAATATATATGGCACATTGGAATTATAGGTTGATTCAGTCAAAATCATGTACCCTTATGTCTAAGTGAACAAAAAATGATTTTAATATAGCGAAATCTGTCTAAAAAAGAGTCTTTATGAAATGGTAACCTGTTACACCGAACTGTCGTTGAGGTCATACATTGAATATTATTTAGTGTTTTATAACCCATGAAAAGTTGAAACACAAGTCTTAATTTTAACTTAGTTCTTTGTGGACGAGGTTTATATTACTCATGGTACTATTGTATTGTTACTGTACATGTAATGCATTTAAAATGGTCCCCAATTATTTATAATTCTTGTGAATAAATTTGCAGGTTTTAGAGCATTGTTACTACCATGGAACAGTTCGTGGTGTACCACATTCCATAGTGTCTTTGAGTTCCTGTAATGGAATAAGGTAAGATTACATTTGTAACTACTTGTATTTGAAAGAAATGTTTTTGCTCAATTACTCAGTGATGTGTGGTAGATTTTTGTTGATCTATTTAATTTATCAACATCTTATTCAGGTGATTTAGTTGTTGATTAAGACTTGTGTACCCTTGTTTAATGTTGGAGAGTTGACCTCTTGGTGATCTTTCATTTTGTTATTTGGTTATTGTACCATTGAATGTTGACCTTGATCGACTTTCATTGTGTTATTTGGTTACTGTACGATTGAAATGTACTCACAGCTACGTTTTATTCCTAGATTAGGAGAGTTGACCTCTTGGTGACCTTTCATTTTGTTATTTGGTTACTGTACCATTGAATGTTGACCTTGATCGACTTTCATTGTGTTATTTGGTTACTGTACGATTGAAATGTACTCACAGCTATGTTTATTCCTAGATAATCAAAGAATGCACTTAGATCTACTTCTCAGAGACCTATCATATTATATCAATGAATTCATTCCAGTTGTGTACAATGCTATTTAATAGCAATATTTAGGTCACTATAACATATTAGTTTTTTATGCATCCTTGTCTTAATCAATTGGTTTCAACAATATATTGTTTATTGGTGATATTGTTGTTCTATTATTTGGGAATTATCATAGTGGAAAATAATTTAGATTTTTATTATAGAGGCCATATTACAGATGATGAACAGAGTTACTACATAGAGCCAGCAAGAGGAAGATATCATAAGTTCTATATAGAACAGGATACCAGACCAACTGTATTTCATTATGAAGGTTTGTTACCTAATTTGCATATATATGCTGTGCTGGTTTACCTGAAGTGAAACAACATCCTTGAAAAATATATATGATCACTTGATACTGCTGTTTTCTCATATTGGACAATATCAGTATTTATCTAAAAAATACAACTGCTTAAACTTATATGATATATCAACTTCATTTATTTAATACACACTTTATGTTTATGGTACATGGTTTAAGTTAAAGGTGGTCTATGTTCAATTAAAAAAAAAGTTTTCTAATTACCAAAACCAGGAGTCCATAGGAAGTGTGCAGATCTGCTATAGCTAGTGGGATTACAATGTCACTGGTTAAGTAAAGCTGTCATCCTAGTTCCTGATTTAAAGCATCCCTGTTTAGGCCAATGAAAATTAATTGATAGATTTTCATCCCAGCCCACCCCTCTGAAATAGTCTGGCCCCAATTTTTTTTTATTTTTGAAAATTTATGATTTCCGGTTTTTGTTCATTTCCATTCCTGTAAACCGCGCTGATAACTTCCTTCCATCAAAAAGTTCCTGTTGCAAAAGCGCTGCAAGATTCAGTTTTTCATATTTCTTCGAGTATATTGAACCACATAATTAAATCTATATATTCTGCAGTTCTGTGATGACAACTTTATTTTCTGAGAAGATAGATTGATTACGGGAAGGGCCTGAAATATTCGGTTACGAGTAATATGCGATTTCAAATAACGCAAATCTCAGTGATTAGAAAACCGTGGATTTTTAAATTTATACAATGACTTTGTTTCAGTAAATTTGAACTGTGAATGATATCAAAAGCACAAGAATTGTGGCACACATTTCATTTATCTTAAGAGGCAATTTTGCAGTGGGGAGAGTTGTCATGGATTCATATATTAGTTTATTAAAAACGGGTGTAATAAACATGACTGGAATAAAGAAATTGACACAAGCACCAACTTGTAAGATTTATTTACACTATTTACTGTAAGATGGTATATTGATAACAAGAAATCGGCAAACCTATAGCAAGATTTACCAAAACTGTCTATTTTTGTTGACCAACATCAAACACCCTCTGCTCAGCCACTCAATGAAGTCATTAAACAATATAAAACAATCTTGAATATTTCATACCATGTTTTTATACAACTTTGCGGTCGTATATTGGTATGACGTTGGCGTCGTCGTCGTCCGAAGACACATAGGTTTTCGCACTCTAACTTTAGTTTAAGTGAATGGATCTCTATGAAATTTTACCATAAGGTTCAATACCACAAAAGGAAGGTTGGGATTGATTTTGGGGGTTATGGTACCAACAGTTAAGGAATTAGGGGCCAAAAAGGGGCCAAAAATAAGCATTTTTGTAACTTCCAGACATAACTTGTGTGTTAGTGTATGGATCTCTCTGACATTGTACCACAAGGTTACATATCACACAGGGAATGCTGGATTGATTTTGGGTGTAATTGCCTCAAAATATTAGGAATTAGGGGCCAAAAAAGGGGCAAAAAACAAGCATTTTTCTAGTTTCATGACAATAACTTGTGTGTAAGTGTATGGATCTTTCTGAAATTGTACTACAAGGTTCCATACCACAAAGGGAAAGCTTGAATTGAGTTTAGGGGTAATTGCCCAAAAGGTTTAGGAATAAGGGGCAAAAAAGGGGCTAAAATTAGCATTTTTCTAGTTTCCAGACAATAACTTGTGTGTAAGTGTATGGATCTCTCTGACATTGTACCACAAGGTTCCATATTACAAAGGAAAGGCTGGAATTGATTTTGGGGTAATTGCCTCAAAATATTAGGAATTAGGGGCCAAAAAAAGGGCCAAAAAACAAGCATTTTTCTAGTTTCGTGACAATAACTTGTGTGTAAGTGTTTGGATATTTCTGAAATTGTACTACAAGGTTCCATATCATAAAGGGAAAGCTGGAATTGAGTTTGGGGGTAATTGCAGAAACGTTTAGGAATTGGGGGCCAAAAAGAGGCCAAAAATAAGCATTTTTCTAGTTTCCAGTCAATAACTTGTGTTCAAGTGTATGGATCTCTCTGAAATTGTACTGCAAGGTACCATACCACAAAGGGAAGGCTGGGATTGATGATGGGGATAATTGCCTAAATATTTTAGGAATAAGGGGCCAAAAAGGGGCAAAAAACAAGCATTTTTGTAGTTTCAGGACAATAACTTGTGTGTAAGTGTATTGATCTTTATGAAATTGTACTACAAGGTTCCATATCATAAAGGGAAAGCTGGGTTTGAGTTTGGGGGTAATTGCCCTAAATGTTTAGGAATTTGGGGCCAAAAAGGGGCCAAAAAACATATTTTTCTAGTTTCCAGACAATAACTTGTGTTCAAGTGTATGGATCTCTCTGAAATTGTACTGCAAGGTACCATACCACAAAGGGAAGGCTGGGATTGAGTTTGGGGGTGATGAATCATAAGGGGGTTCAAAAAATTTGGGGGGGGGGGATTTTTTTTTTTTCCTTTTTTCTTTCTTGTAAAATTTTCCATTTTAAGTTGGTTATTTCTGATTTATATTTAAAAGCAAATAATAATGATATGGTAGGAGATACACACCAAACAGGATGTGTAAATTATTATATAATAAGTATTGTGCAATAGCAAGAAATTTTCAATTGCACAGTATTGTACAATAGCAAGAAATCTTCAATTGCACAGTATTGCGCAATAGCAAGAAATCTTCAATTGCACAGTATTGCGCAGTAGCAAGAAATATCCAATAGCACAATATTGCGCAATAGCAAGAAATTGTCAATTGTACAGTATTGCGCAATAGCAAGAAATATTCAATTGCACAGTATTGTGCAAAAGAAGATACTTCCTATAAATTGCTTATTTCTTGACCAATTTCAATGGGGTTTTATTCTTGAATTCTTGGGGTTCTTTAATATGCTGAATCTAACTGTGTATTAAGTTTTTGGATTTTGGGCCCCGTTTTTAAATTGGTCCACATTGAGGTCCAAAGGGTCCAAAATTAAACTTTGTTTGATTTCATCTAAAATTGAATTATTTGGGTTCTTTGATATGTCGAATCTAACCGTGTATTTAGATTCTTAATTTTTGGTTCCGTTTTCAAATTGGTCTACATTAAGGTACAAAGGGTCCAAAATTAAACTTAGTTTGATTTTAACAAAAATTGAATTCTCAGGGTTCTTTGATATGCCGAATCTAAACATGTATTTAGATTTTTGATTATGGGCCCAGTTTTCAAGTTGGTCCAAATCGGGGTCAACAAAAATTGAATATATGGGGTTCTTTGATATGCTGAATCTAACCATGTATTTAGATTTTTGATTTTTGGGCCCCGTTATCAACTTTGTCCACATTGAGGTCAAAAGGGTCCAAAATTAAACTTTGTTTGATTTCATCAAAAATTGAATTCTTGGGGTTCTTTGATATGCTGAATCTAACCATGTATTTAGATTTTGGATATTGGACCATAATAGGTGAATGTCCAATTTAAAATTTTTAAGTTCTTAGACCACATTCATTCTGTGTCAGAAACCTATGCTGTGTCAAATATTTAATCACAATCCAAATTCAGAGCTGTATCAAGCTTGAATGTTGTGTCCATACTTGCCCCAACTGTTCAGGGTTCGACCTCTGCGGTCGTATCAAGCTGCGCCCTGCGGAGCATTTTATTATATTTTGGTCAGGCTCATGTTTTACATTGCATTTTAATAACTATGGGTAGTTAGTAAACTTATATTTGCACCTTGCAGAATAATCTTAAGAGCATCAACCCTTATATTTCCAACACCGTTCAAGTTTTGATTTTATCCTGTACTCTTAACACTTGTGTTTCATACCAATGCATATGCTTCATATTATGGGTACTATAAACCATAGCTTCAAAATTATGCAACACAAATTTGCTGTTCAAACATGTAGGTAGTTTTCAAAAGAGCATTTCTCCATATTTTTGCTATTTACCGGAAAAAAAAAAGTTTCTAAAGCAATTAGAACAATGGTTGGCAATCAGAAATATTCATTTTAGAATTTGAAAAAGTATGCTGAATTCTTTATATATACATGATATAATCTTATTATTACCCTTGCATATGAAGAACACCTTACAAGAGGGTTTCAGGGGAAATAAAAATTAAATAATAAAAACCTCCCTTCCGCTCCATTGATGAAAATCATCTAATTAATTTTAGTTGTCCTTATGTCCAGAACATGGATTTAATGATTCACCAAAAGTCTGGTTTTTTTTGCAGTTATTTATTTTTTTCTAGGTCAGGTTTATAAATATCTCATCATAAGGTTATTTTTGGTGATATTCTTACAACTTGTACAGTCTACTATAAAATCAGTACTTCTGCAGTATTTGTTATTTTGTAGATTTCAAATCCAAACATTCCAGATACCTTAGCAATGCAACAATTAATACATTACACAGAAAGGAATTCTTACAAAGGGTATGTATATATTCCCAGGAGTTGTAGTTGATTTTTTAAAATCAAAATTTGGTATTCTAAGACTTTGTTGACTGACTTCATATGGAAATAAGAAATTATATTAACCTTGAGACTGGTAACAAATAGTCTAACAATATAAAGTGGATCCTTTGTAAATTGTCCGAGATATAATATGGCATAGTTTTTAATTTGTATTGTCATATCCTGAATTTGCAGTTAATACTTAAATGTCTTTTAACTGACACTAATTAAGACAGATATGAAATTTCATGAAGAAAAAAAGATCAATATCCTTAAACTTAAAAATATTTCTGGTATGATAACTTTCATTCTGCTTTTATCAAAATATTCATATTTTTATTGTTAAATATTTCAGTCAAAACGTAGTATACGAGCACCAGCTGATAGCAACAGAAATTCTAAATATGTAGAAATGTACATCGTTAATGATAATTCTGTTGTAAGTATAGTTATTTAAAGATTTAAAGAGTTCAAGGTAGGTCACCCTTAATTTGTGTATGTCAAAGAACACCGACTAAGATGACCTGGGCTTTACAGATAAACAAAGTCTATAAGTTTTTTAGATAGTAAATATGAAATTAACTTAATTCAAACTCTACATGCATACAAAAGTCTTACTTCATGACATTTTATAAATTTGAAAGTTTCAAAATATTTGATAATAAAGTTCAGGTACTGTTGACTCATTTATATGTGAGATATAAATTCTATGCTCATGCCACTCAGTGACCAGGGCTAAAAATGTTACCCTCTGCCATACAATTAGAAAGCCAACAGTTGTCTAGACTATTTTTTTATAAGACCAAACAATTTTTTGATTTTTATACGATCGCAAAAATTTTTTTGGGATCGTATAATGGTATGATGTTGTCGTCTGCGTCGTTGTCCGAAGACACATTGGTTTCCGGACAATAACTTTAGTTTAAGTGAATGGATCTTGATGAAATTTTTTAAGAAGGTTCAATTACACAAAAGGAAGGTTGGGATTGATTTTGGGGATGATGGTTCCAACCGTTTAGGAATTAGGGGCCCAAAACAAGCTTTTTTTCTAGTTTCAGGATAATAACTTGTGTATAAGTATTTCAATAGCTCTGAAATTGTACCACAATGTTTAATACCACAAGTAGAAGGTTGGGATTCATTTTAGGGGTTATGGGGCCATCAGTTTAGGAAGGGCGAAAAATTAGCATTTTTCTAGTTTCCAGACAATAACTTGTGTGTAAGTGTATGGATCTCTCTGACATTGTACCACAAGGTTCCATATAACTAGTGGAAGGCTGGGATTGAGTTTGGGGTGAATTGCCCCAAACATGTAGGAATTAGGGGCCAAAAAAGGGCCAAAAACAAGCATTTTTCTAGTTTCCAGACAATAACTTGTGTGTAAGTGTATGGATCTCTCTGAAATTGTACTACAAGGTTCCATACTACAAAGGAAAGGCTGGGATTGAGTTTTGGGGTTATTGCTTCAAAGGGGGTTTCAAAAAGTTGGGGGGGGGGGGGATTTTTTTCCCAATTATTTTTAAGGGATTCATGTTTTTTTTTCAAAATTTTGAAAAGTTTCAAGAAGAAATCTTCAATTGCACAGTATTGCGCAATGGATTTATAAGATCTTTGACCACATTTATTTTGTGTCAGAAACCTATATTATGTCAAAAATTTGATTACAATCCAAATTCAGACAGTATCAAGCTTGAATATTGTGTCCAAATTTGCCCAACTGTTCAGGGTTCGACCTCTGCGGTCGTATCAGGCTGTGCTCAGCGAAGCATTTTATTTTATTTTGCGTCGTATAATGCTATGGTGTCAGCGTCGTCCGAAGACACATTTGGTTTCCGGACAATAACTTTAGTTTGAGTGAATGGATCTCTATGAAATTTTACCAGAAGGTACAATACCACAAAAGGAAGGTTTGGATTGATGTTGGGGGTTATGGTACCAACGGTTCAGGAATTAGGGGCAAAAAAGGGGCCAAAAACAAGCATTTTTCTAGTTTCCAGACAGTAACTTGTGATTAAGTGTATGGATCTCTCTAAAGTTGTACTACAAGGTTCCATACCACAAAGGGAAGGCTGGGATTAATTTGGGGGTAATTACTTCAAGGGAGAGGGGTTCAAAAGTTTGGGGGATTTTTTTTTTTTCCAATTTTTTTGGGGGGTGCATATTTTTTTTCTTCAAAATTTTTGAAATTTCAAATGATTGCACAGTATTGCGCAATAACAAGAAATCTTTAACTGCACAGTATTGCGCAATAGCACAGTATTGGGCAATAGCAAAAAATCTTTAATTGCACAGTATTGCGCAACAGCAAGAAATCTTCAATTGCACAGTATTGCGCAATAGCACAGTATTGGGCAATAGCAAGAAATCTTTAATTGCACAGTATTGCGCAACAGCAAGAAAACTTCAATTGCACAGTATTGTGAATAGCACAGTATTGGACAATAGCAAGAAATCTTTAATTGCACAGTATTGCGCAACAGCAAGAAATCTTCAATTGCACAGTATTGCACAATAGCAAGAAATCTTCAATTGCACAGTATTGTACAATAGTAAGAAATCTTCAATTGCACATTAATGCGCAATAGCACAGTATTGCACAATAGCACAGTATTGCACAATAGCAAGAAATCTTCAGTTGCACTGTATTGTGCAATAGCAAGAAATCTTCAATTGAAAATAAATACAAATCTTTTAACCAATTTCAATGGGATTAATTTAAAGTCTTAAATTTTTGGTGGTTCTAAACTTGTATTACTTTTTTGGATATTGGGCCCCATTTTTAAATTGGTCTACATTGAGGTCAAAAGTGTCCAAAATTAAACTTTGTTTGATTTTGACAAAAACTGAATTTTTGCGGCTGTATGATATGCTGAATCTTATTGTGCATTTAGATTTTTTATTTTGGGCCCTGTTTTCAAATTAGTCCATATTAAGGTTTGAAGGGTCTAAAATTAAACTTTGTTTGATTTCAACTAAAATTAAATTTTTTGTGTTTTTTTATATGCTGAATCTAACCATGTTGTTAGATTTTGGATATCAGATCATTCTAGGTAAATTAAATGTTCCATTTCAAATTTTTAAGATCTTTGACCACACTTATTTTGTGTCAGAAACCTATATTATGTCAAAAATTTTATCACAATCCAAATTCAGACAGTATCACGCTTGAATATTGAGTCCAAACTTGCCCCAACTGTTCAGGGTTAGACCTCTGTGGTCGTATCTGGCTGCCCTCAGCGAAGCATTTTATTAGGGGGTAAACTGGTTTACATTTGTCCATCTGTCCCATAAATGTTTGCTCGCAATTTTTCTCAAAAACTACAAATCAAGGCTGTCTGAAATTTAGAATAGAGCTTGTGTGTGTGCTATTTATACAATGTGATGTGTTTAACATTCATTCCTTATCAACTTCCTGTTTACCCAATACTGGAAGCGGTGTTTCAAAATAAAGGAAATTGATTTCACGGAATTTTGTCAAACCCAAAAAATTAATATCCTCAAAGTTCAATGAATTCTAAGTGTTTGTCATCTTGAAACAAAAAAGTAACAAACAAATAGAAAAATAAATGGATGGAAAAAAATTACTTTATAAAAAAAACCCTCAAGGAAGGGAGTACATGTATAACAAGAGGTTCTCAAGAGCCTGAATCGCTCACCTGTATTTCAGAGGAGAAGATTTTTAAATGTTAGCAAACTTGATGAACAAATTGTGTAAAATTGTCTTTAAAGGGCAATAAAAGGGTCAATTGACAATTATGGTCATATTAACTTTTTTGTAGATCTTACTTTGCTGAACATTATTGCTGCTTACAGTTTATATATATATCTATAATAATATTCAAAATAATAACAAAAAACTGCAAAATTTTGTTAAAACTACCAATTCGGTGGCAGCAACACAACAATGGGTTGTTCGATTCGTCTGAAAATTTCAGAGCTGATAGATCTTGACCAATTGAACAATTTTACCCCATGTCAGATTTGCTCTAAAAGCTTTAGTTTTTGAGATATAAGCCAAAAACTGCATTTGACCTCTATGTTCTATTTTTAGCCATGGCGGCCATGTTTGTCGATGGATCAAAACTTCGGATACAATTTATAAACTAGATACCCTAAGGAACATTTAGTTAAAGTTTGAAGGTATTTGGCCCAGTAGTTTCAGAGGAGAAGATTTTTGAAATAGTTTACGACGACGGACGACGACGGAAGCCAAGTGATGGCATAAGCTCACATGGGGCCCTTTGGGCCCCGGTGAGCTAAAAATGGAGACAGAAATGGATAAATGTGCTGAAGAATTTTCCAATCCAATGTCAAATTGCCACTTTATCTGTCCATTTTTATATCAGACACTCTTGACTTCCAACAACTAATGATAAAGTTTCAAGGATTTAATCATGCCTTCTTATTTATTTGATGAAAGGAGTTATTTGCATATCCTGGAATATTATTGCTGCTTACTATCAAATATTTTTTTGCAAGGGATATGTCTTACAGAATACCTCATAGATTTTATTTCTCAGCAAACAAAGATTTTGGGGAAAAAGTAAAATAACAAAAATAATGAACTCCAAGGAAAATTCAAAACAGAAAATCCCTTATCAAATGGCAAAACCAAAAGCCCAAACACATCAAAAGAATGGAAAACAACAGACATATTCTTGACTTGGTACAGGCTACATTTCCTTATGTAGAAAATGGTGGATTAAACCTGGTTTTATAGCTAGCTTTAACCTCTCACTTGTTAGACAGTCCCATAGAATTTCATGATATTGACAACAATGTGTGAGCAAAACAAGCAGACATGGTAAGTAAAAATGTCAAAACTTGGGAACTCCTGAAACTTTACACTGTTGAAGAAAACTACCTGAGGATGTGCTTAAAGGAATATTATCCTGGTCCAACATGTTAAAGGGAGGTAATCAACTTTACTAACTTCCATACACTAATAGTATGTGTTCTCTTGTGAGTTCAATTACAATTCTAGTTTTCTACTGAAAAATATTTGCCAAATATACCATATAAAGCTTTCCTAGCATTTATTTACCATGCCAACTTTTTATTTGTGTCTTTTTCATAGCTGTACAGTTATGGCAGTTATAGTAAAGGCTGTCAAATGTATTAAATAATTGATGACAGTAACTACTATTGTGAAGCCTGACCAATTATTAAATATAGGAGTATAGCATAATGTATGTATTTGTGTCCATGAAAAAGAAAAGCTTACATTTTAGTTAAAGTTCAGATACCCAGAGAAAGTCAAAACATTGAGGCAATTTCTTTGTAAAGAAGATTATATTCTGTGTTAAAATAGATACAGGCAAGTTAACGACACTATGAGTGATTTTTGTAATAGTGATTGTATAATACATTTCAGTATAGACAGCATAGAGGTGACAAAAAAAAAGTATTCCAGAGATCTCAGGAAATAGCCAATTATGTTAGTAAGGTAAGTATAGACATAATGATCATTCCATGTTTAAAATAAAGACCATCTGATTTAATTGAAATTTGTACCTCTGTTTTCATCAGTGATTGAAAGGATCAGATAAATAGTAAACATGATGATATAAACTGTAGAAACTACACAATTTCGTAGACAGCATAGAAGAAAAAATATGTAAGATATTTAAAACAAGTTACTTGTCTGCTTCAAATGCAAAATCTGATTATTGCCAACTTTTAAAATAGACTGTCAATATGCTGAAAATTATTTAATGTTATTGCAGAAATGCATGTATTGTAATATCAAGTAATTATTAATAGTTTTAAAATGTTTGAGAACAGAAAGAGAATTTTTAATGCAAACATTTACTATGTCGAAGACTTGCCATATAAAATGAAATTGCAATATTTTCTGAATGTACACTGCTAATGAAGTTTGTCTTGATAGTGCAATAAGAACAATTATGAATATAGTTCACACAAAACAATTTTTAAAATTGACAAATGTCAGAAATTAAGTGTACTCTCCTTTTATCACTTTTTTTTGACCAAGTTAAATTATAGCAATAAGCACGGGCTGGAATATATCAAGGCAGCAATTTAATTAAAAACTTATGGATTTTAGAAAAGTGGACCATCATTATATAGAGGAGCACTTTATGATGTTTAAAATGTCTTTGTAAAAACACAGGGGGGGAGGGGAATAAACAGTAAATATTTCAGAGATGACAGGAGAAGGCCAACTATGTTAAAAAAAAATACAAAATGCAAACATCTACACAGTGATAATGAAGTACTGTATTCTTTATTTTGCTGTAAATCAAAAGGGAATTTTTACAAATGTCATTTATATAAGGAAAAATTTGGAAGGAGTGAAAGGAAATGAATGTTAAATATACATCTCCTTATTTTATATTGTTATTAATGATTGATTAGTGGTTTGAGTACAGAGTTTAACTTCCGAAGGAAAACACAAGGACTGTACAATATACTAGCAAGTAGGAAATAGGAAATCACTTGTCAGATGACATATGAAAAAGACATTGACATATATTTTATATGAATACGACTTCATCTTTATAACTTATTAATATACTTATTTTACTACAATGAAATATAAGATCAATGGTACTTAGAATACTTATAAATGTCTTATAGGTCCACTTTGAAGTGAAGGGTCTTTAATTAGTCCCCTACCGACAAAGTCGAAGGGGACTTTAGGTTTGCACTCCATCCGTCTGTCTGTCTGTCTGTCTGTCCGTCTGTCCATCTGTCAGTCCGTCAAATCAGTTTTCCAAACTTTTTTTCTTCATGCTTGAAGATATTGATTTGATATTTGGTTTATTGATTTATCATGACAAGTTACAGGTCAAGTTCAATTTTCACGATTTTAGCTTTTCTCTTTGTTCAGTTAAAGCCCTTTCCCTAGAATTAAATTTTTGATGAAATACTTATTATTAATTAGTAGATTTCTGTTCAAAGGGAAATAACTCATTTAAAAAAAAATAAATTAAAAGACAAATTGACATTTTGGATTTTTTTCCTTTTCTTTGGTAAATTGTTTGAAGAATTAAGTGGAAGTTTGTTTGTCATTCTTGAAGATATTGATTTGATAATTAGTATATAGTATTATCATGACAAGTTACAGATCAAGTTGAAATTTTGTTCCAGTCTGATAATTTTGTGCAGAGTTATGGTTTTTGGACATAGAAAATTCACTTAAATAATCAGTTTTCGTCATGCTTGAAGATTTTGACTTGATATTTTTATGTAGTTTACACCATGACAAGTTATAGATCAAGTTAGAATTTCGTTCCATTACAATGAATTTGTAACCGGTAGGGGATTATGTATTTCCATGCAATACTCACAGAATGCTTGTTATTACTGTAATGTGCACTATAACTGTTCTTTTAATGAGGATATAGCAAATTTAAATGTGACTTAATTTATATGAAAAAATTGAATATTGGGTAACTTATGTGGAGGCAGAATCATGTGCAAAATAAAACTATTCCGAAGAGCAACACTAAATATTCTTTATTTTTAATATGATTTAAAGGCTGCTTGCATCGAACAATACTCATATCTTGCTTGATCAAGGTGAACTGGGGTCTGTAAGATCATCTCATTCATTAGAACAGATATATTCTAGATGGATGCTTCGAGCAACTTTAAAGGTCATATATGATGGTTTTTGACATGTATACTTGCTTTGCTAGACAGTTACCATATACTGCCACAGGTGGCTCAGGTGAAAACAAATTGAAAAAAAGTGGATTACAATTTAATATGTAGAGTGGGTGGCGCATTTCGCCTTGGACACATTTTCGCTGTTTTGCTATTTTTTCTGTTAAATTTGTGTGTCTTTACACAATATTTGCCTAAATAGATGGTAAAGGCTGTTTGTAATGTTACAACTGTCGATATTCCTCTTTACCCCATTTCCAAGGTTATTCGCACAGATTAAGACATACGCAGGTGTTTTTAAATTATTTTGGCAATTATGTAAGATTTATATGGCAATCATGCGCAGTCTTAAAGTAAATATTTGTGAGAAAAATCGTATAGGAATGATCTCTCAAGCTAATTCATGTAATTGCAAACATTCGTTTTTATAATATACCAGGATAATGAGGATGGTCATATCATACATTGCGGCGAAAATGTGTCCCCCATGGTACACGAACAACTGGATTTCCTCTTGAGTTTGCGTTCGTTTTTAGAACAATTAACCAATGTTTTGAAGATAATTTCTTTGTCAAACATTTTTTTCATATAGTTAAATTTCTGAAACCTTCATAAAAAGTTCCAAATATTCGAATGTAGGTCGGATGTAAGTGGAAATAAACGAATTATGCGGCGAATATGGGTCTCTCACTCTATCTCTTATTTTTTCAGCTTTACCAGCCTTTGAATATTTTCATTGCTTTAGTTGGAGTAGAAATCTGGACAGTAGCTAATAAAATTGTTGTATCAAACTTAGCTAATACTACACTGGATAACTTCCTTAGTTATCGAAGACAGGCTATCAATCCACATCATCCAAACGATAATGCACAGCTCATCACGTAAGATAGTACAATAAATTTTGTTTATGGGCAGGGAGGTCATTCGTTCATATTAAAGAAACCTTTTGTAAGGTCATTACTTATATTAGAAAATAATCATGATGCACAACTCATTATGTAACAAAGTTTTATTATTCTACAATCTTTCCTGTATATAGAATAACCTTTCATAATTCATCCAATTTAGAGATTGACATATTGTACATGTATATACACTTGCCTATTCTTGTAAACCTCTTGAGATCCTTCAACTTTGAGTGTGGTTACTGTCTGCCTCTTTGATATTAGCCTCATATTTTTTATACGCCCGTTTTTTATTTATATCACTAATTTAAAAATAACATGAAAGAAATAATGTATGCTTATTTCCTATATTTTAAGAATTGTATAATGAGTTTACCTTGAAGATGTAGCATTATGTTCAATGGAAATACACCTATTATATTATCATTAATTAACGATTGCTTTTGACAGTGTCATAATGTTTCTATAACAGCATTTGTCAGGTTTCTTTTCTTAAATAAGTTGAAAAGTGAGATGCCAGCTGCATCTAAAGAAAGAAATTTAATCCTCTTTATGTGTTTTTTGCTGTAAATATTGGTTGTCACTTAACATTTGATAGAATTGATTCTGGTGAGTTTGTGTGGAGTGTAGGCATATATTCAACATTATCCAATAGTTATTACAAACAACATTACTGAAGTAAAAGGAAACTTCCAGTCATTTGTTGTGGTTACAAAAAATAGGTCTTGACAATGTTTATTTTTATACCTCCTTTCTAGGAATTGGGGCTTATATTGCAACCACATTGTCTGTTTGTCCAACAGATATTTTTGTCACACTTTTCTCAGGAATTACAGAACAAAATGACTCTCATTTGGTCATCAACTTGGCAGTGATGAGTTTAAAAGTGAACACTTAAGGAATCTGTCAGACACCAACTTTCTGTTTGTTGAAACTTTAGATTTTTCTATTTTTTTAATGAAAAGAAATATTTCCTCACACTTTTCTCAGGAACTAAGGAACAAAATGGCTATATAAGTCTAAATTGAAAACAGTGTTCAAACCTATGATTGCCTTGGATAAAAACCGCAATTTTTATATGTGTGCATGCAAAACAAATTTCTTGGTAGAGGGGTCTAAATACAGCACAAACAACATTTTCCAAAAGACCAAAAAAGTGAAAAGGTATATTTTAACACAAACGCATTTGACTAACAGGTCGAACACAGGATGTTCTTAAACCCTGCTGACTGCCATTGGTGATTGCCAAATAAAAGGATCACAAGATGTAACAAAATGGATCTTTATTATTAGTTTAATACCAAACAGAAAACAATAAACTTGCAGAAAAGATGGTATACTGCAAACATGAGGTGCAAAAATTTGTACACCATATCCGGATTTGACAATTAATGTCTCTTCAGTGATGTTAGGAGTCGAAACGGTATTTGGAAGGCCATATAATTTACCTCAATTTAGGATAGACTCTTGAATTTGGAAGAGTCTAATTAGGATGAACGGATCATATAAACCCAAAGGCAAATATAATACAAGCCCAAACGAAAAAATATAAATAAGTCTAAATTGAAAACAACGTACAAACCTATGATTCAATGGATAAAAACTGCAATTTTTATATGTGTGCATGCAAAACAAATTTCTTGGTAGAGGGGTCTAAATACAGCACAAACAACATTTTCCAAAAGACCAAAAAAGTGAAAAAGTATATTTTAACAAAACGCATTTGAATAACAGGTCGAACAACGGATGTTCTTAAACCCTGCTGACTGCCATTGGCGATTGCCAAATAAATGGATCTTTATTATTAATTTAGTACCAAACAGTAAACAATAACTTGCGGAAAAGATGGTATACTGCAAACATGAGGTGCAAAAATTTGTACACCATATCCAGATTTCGACAATTAATATCTCTTCAGTGATGTTAGGAATCAAAACAGTATTTGAAAGGCCATATAATTTACCTCAATTTAGGATAGACTCTTGAATTTTGAAGAGTCGAAATAGGAAGAACAGATCATATAAACCCGAAGGCAAATATAATACAAGCCCAAACGAAAAAATATAAATTAGTCTAAATTGAAAACAACGTTCAAACCTATGATTGCGTTGGATAAAAACCCAATTTCTTGGTAGAGGGGTCTAAATACAGCACAAACAACATTTTCCAAAAGACCAAAAAAGTGAAAAAGTATATTTTAACATATATGGTCAGCAGCTTGACAGTGATGATTTGTAATATATGAATGATTTCTGGAACTGTCAGACACCTACTTCCTGTTTTCCAATAGTTTGAATTATGACCAGGGGTACCGGTATGCTCAGCACAACAATGTATGCAACTTCTGTTATTTTACTTTCTATAACAAAACGATTTTACTTTAATATTAAAAATGACTTACTATGTATTTCAGGGGAATTTTATTTCAAGATTCAATAGTAGGCAAGGCCATTAAGATGTCAATTTGTACCTTCCAGTATTCTGCTGGTGTTGCAATGGTAAGATACATGTAGTGAAGTTTTACTGTGCGTATTGCTGTGTGTTTCTTTATACTACTTTGGCTAGAGGTATAGGGGGAGGGTTGAGATTTCACAAAACATGTTTAACCCCGCCGCATTTTTGCGCCTGTCCCAAGTCAGGAGCCTCTGTCCTTTGTTAGTCTAGTATGTTTTTTAATTTTAGTTCATTTATATGTTTTGGAGTTTAGTGTGGTGTCCATTTTCACTGAACTAGCACACAACTTTAGTTAGGGTCCAGCTGAGGACCACCTCCGGGTGCAGGATTTTCTCGCTGCATTGAAGACCCATTGGTGGACTTCGGCTGTTGTCTGGTCGGGTTGTTGTCTCTTTGACATATTCCCCATTTCCATTCTCAATTTTATTCATTACAATATTTAGTTTTATTAGTATAAAAAGTTTTTTTTATCACAATTCCAAAATCCTGTTCAACCAGCAAATGAAAAACTACATTAGCTCTAGTGGTATATAGCCAAAGGAACTTGACTGTTGTACCATTGAAACATATGAGATATACCCCAGTTTTCTTTTAATATTAGAGTTATTTTGATATTTTATTTTCTAAGTAAGTTATGGGCCAGAGAGTAGTTCTTGCCGAGTAGCAATCCAATGAAATGTGTGCTAAAATTTTTATAGTGCCCACTTTAAAACAAATAAGATATGAAAGTAAGATTTGCTACCCAGCTAGAACTACTCTGTGACCCGAGTTGTAAATGTTTTGAAGAAAGAACCAAAAATTAATGTAGCTGCTATTGAAGTATGTATGTTTGTATGCCACTGCATGGTACACTGGACATTAAGCTACCAACAATCAATCAATTTCTTCTTGAGATCCTTCAACTTTGAGTGTGGTTACTGTCTGCCTCTTTGATATTAGCCTCATATTTTTTTATTTATATCACTAATTTAAAACTAACATGAAAGAAATAATGTATGCTTATATCCTATATTTTAAGAATTGTATAATGAGTTTACCTTGAAGATGTAGCATCATGTTCAATGGAAATACACCTATTATATTATCATTAATTATCGATTGCTTTTGACAGTGTCATAATGTTTCTATAACAGCATTTGTCAGTCATTTGTTGTGGTTACAAAAAATTAGTCTTGACAATGTTTATTTTTATACCTCCTTTCTAGGAATTAGGGCAACCTATATTGCAACCACATTGTCTGTTCGTCCAACAGATATTTTTGTCACACTTTTTTTTTTGTGACTGTTGTACCATTGAAACATATGAGATAAACCCCAGTTTTCTTTTAATTCATATTAGAGTTATTTTGATAGTCTATTTTCTAAAGGAGTTATTTTGATAGTCTATTTTCTAAATATGTTATGGGCCAGAGAGTAGTTCTCGCCGAGTAGCAATCCATTGAAATGTGTGCTAAAATTTTTAAAACAAATAAGATATGAAAGTAAGATTTGCTACCCAGCTAGAACTACTCTGTGACCCGAGTTGTAAATGTTTTGAAGAAAGAACCAAAAATTAATGCATGGTACACTGGACATTAAGCTACCAACAATCAATCAATTTCTTCTTGAGATCCTTCAACTTTGAGTGTGTATATATGAATGAAAGTGAAACAAAAATGTGTTCTTGATAGTTCTCTGATAAAGATACTTTTTTCCCATTTTAGCTGCAGTTTTAAATCTTAAGGATTTGAAATACTTTTTATAGGAAATTCTTATTTTTATGCCTCGCCGTAGCGGAGGGGGCATTAAGTTTTACCTTGTCCGTCTGTACGTCCGTCCGTCTGTCGGTACGTCCCAAAGTTGGTTTCCGTTCTCTAACTTTAGTTTGCCTCAACCAAATGTTATGAAACTTATACACAATGCTTATTACCACTAAATACAGATCAAGTTTGAATTTTGGTGGCGTCACTTTTACCGTTCTAGAGTTATGCTCCGTTCTCTAACTTAAGTTTGCCTCAACCAAATGTTATGAAACTTACACACAATGCTTATTACCACTATATACAGATCAAGTTTGAATTTTGGAGCCGTCACTTATACTGTTCTAGAGTTATGCCCTTTAAAAATGGAAAAATTGTTAAATTTTTCTTTTTTTTTTCCCTAAATATCAAGTCATTTTTAAAATTGGAGTTATCTTCCTTTGTCCATGATTATAGTTGAATCCACTACAATCAATGCTTTATACAATGCAATGTTTAATTTTGCCTTCCACTGATAAATTAAAGCAATTTTTACCCTTCATTTCTAAAAATATTTTAAAGTTTTCTTTGAAAATTGGAATTATCTTTCTTTATGCATAATAGTAGTTGAATCAACTACAACCAATGCTTTATACAATGCAATATTCAATTTTACTTCCTACTGATAAATTAAAGCAATCTTTACCATTCAGTGCTTACAAGCACTTTGATTACCGTTCTAGGGTTATGCCCCTTTACAAATGAAAAAATTGCTGAATTTTTCTTTTCCGTTCTCTAACTTGAGTTTGTCTTAACTAAATGTAATTTCTAAAAATATCAATGTTATTATTCAAGTATTTTTATACGACCGCAAAAATTAAAAATTTTTTGGTCGTATATTGGTATGACGTTGGCGGCGTCGTCGTCGTCGTCCCGCGTCGTCCGAAGACACATTGGTTTTCGCACTCTTACTTTAGTTTAAGTGAATGGATCTCCATGAAATGTTACCATAAGGTTCAATACCACGAAAGGAAGGTTGGGATTGATTTTGGGGGTTATGGTACCAACAGTTAAGGAATTAGGGACCAAAAAGGGGCCAAAAATAAGCATTTTTGTAACTTCCAGACAATAACTTGTGTGTAAGTGTATGGATCTCTCTGACATTGTACCACAAGGTTCCATATCACAAAGGAAAGGCTGTAATTGATTTTGGGGGTAATTGCCTCAAAATTTTAGGAATTAGGGGCCAAAAAAGGGGCAAAAAACAAGCATTTTTCTAGTTTCATGACAATAACTTGTGTGTAAGTGTTTGGATATTTCTGAAATTGTACTACAAGGTTCCATATCACAAAGGGAAAGCTGGAATTGAGTTTGAGGGTAATTGCCCGTAACGTTTAGGAATTGGGGGCCAAAAAGGGGCCAAAAATAAGCATTTTTCTAGTTTCCAGACAATAACTTGTGTTCAAGTGTATGGATCTCTCTGAAATTGTACTGCAAGGTACCATACCACAAAGGGAAGGCTGGGATTGAGTTTGGGGGTGATGAATCATAAGGGGGTTCAAAAAATTGGGGGGGGGGGATTTTTTTTTACTTTTTTTTTCTTTTTTTCCTTTTTTTTTTCTTTTAAAATTTTCCATTTTAAGTTGGTTATTTCTGATTAATATTTAAAAGCAAATAATAATGATATGGTAGGAGATACACACCAAACAGGATGTGTAAATTATTATATAATAAGTATTGTGCAATAGCAAGAAATTTTCAATTGCACAGTATTGCACAATAGCAAGAAATCTTCAATTGCACAGTATTGCGCAATAGCAAGAAATCTTCAATTGCACAGTATTGCGCAATAGCAAGAAATATCCAATAGCACAATATTGCGCAATAGCAAGAAATTGTCAATTGTACAGTATTGCGCAATAGCAAGAAATATTCAATTGCACAGTATTGTGCAAAAGAAGATACTTCGTATAAATTGCTTATTTCTTGATCAATTTCAATGGGGTTTTATTCTTGAATTCTTGGGGTTCTTTAATATGCTGAATCTAACCGTGTATTAAGTTTTTGGATTTTGGGCCCCGTTTTTAAATTGGTCCACTTTGAGGTCCAAAGGGTCCAAAATTTAACTTTGTTTGATTTCATCAAAAATTGAATTATTGGGGTTCTTTGATATGCCGAATCTAACCGTGTATTTAGATTCTTAATTTTTGGCTCCGTTTTCAAATTGGTCTACATTAAGGTCCAAAGGGTCCAAAATTAAACTTAGTTTGATTTTAACAAAAATTGAATTTTTAGGGTTCTTTGATATGCTGAATCTAACCATGTATTTAGATTTTTGATTTTTGGGCCCCGTTATCAACTTTGTCCACATTGAGGTCAAAAGGGTCCAAAATTAAACTTTGTTTGATTTCATCAAAAATTGAATTCTTGGGGTTCTTTGATATGCTGAATCTAACCATGTATTTAGATTTTGGATATTGGACCATAATAGGTGAATGTCCAATTTAAAATTTTTAAGTTCTTAGACCACATTCATTCTGTGTCAGAAACCTATGCTGTGTCAAATATTTAATCACAATCCAAATTCAGAGCTGTATCAAGCTTGAATGTTGTGTCCATACTTGCCCCAACTGTTCAGGGTTCGACCTCTGCGGTCGTATCAAACTGCGCCCTGCGGAGCATTTTATTTAAAATTGGAGTTATCTTCCTTTGTCCATGACTATAGTTGAATCAACTACAATCAATGCTTTATACAATGCAATGTTTAATTTTGCCTTCCACTGATAAAACACAGATCAAGTTGAATTTGGGTAGTGTCACTTTAACCATTATTGAGTTATACCCCTTTATGAATCGAAAGATTTCAAAATTTTTAGTTTCCATTCTGTAACTTAAGTTTTCCACAACCAAACATTATGAAACCTATACACAATATTCATTACCTCAAAACTAAGATAATTTACAATTTTTTTGTTTCCGTTCTCTAACTTTAGTTTGCCTCAACCAAATGTTATGAAACTTATACACAATGCTTATTACTACATAATACAGATTAAGTACGAAATTTGGTGGCGTCACTTTTACCATTCTTGAGTTATGTCCCTTTATAAACATAAAAATTGCAAGCTGGGGCATCATCTGTGTCCACATGTGGACACATCCACATTTATTTACAATCAAATTTGCTAGATAAATAAGAAAAAAACATAAGTCAAATAAATAAGACATTTATTTTTAAAACAAAGCTGTGGCTGGTAAAAATTATGCTTTTATAGAAATAGAGCTTTACTTTAATAGTCAAAGATTGTTGACAAAATGATAACAGTCACACTTCTTTAAACTTTTTTCAAATTTTGTAATGAAATGTAATTCATCCCTCTTTATACAACCGCAAAAAAAATTTGCGGTCGTATATTGGTATGTCGTTGGCGTCGTCGTCATCCGAAGACACATTGGTTTTCGCACTCTAACTTTAGTTTAAGTGAATGGATCTCTATGAAATTTTACCATAAGGTTCAATACCACAAAAGGAAGGTTGGGATCGATTTTGGGGGTTATGGTACCAACAGTTAAGGAATTAGGGGCCAAAAATAAGCATTTTTGTAACTTCCAGACATAACTTGTGTGTTAGTGTATGGAATTCTCTGACATTGTACCACAAGTTTCCATATCACAAAGGGAATGCTGGGATTGATATTGGGGGTAATTGTCTAAAAATTTTTGGAATTAGGGGCCAAAAAACAAGCATTTTTCTAGTTTTATGACAATAACTTGTGTGTAAGTGTATGGATCTTTCTGAACTTGTACTACAAGGTTCCATATCACAAAGGGAATGCTGAAATTCAGTTTGGGGGTAATTGCCCAAAACGTTTAGGAATAAGGGGCCAAAAAGGGGCCAAAAATAAGCATTTTTCTAGTTTCCAGACAATAGCTTGTGTTCAAGTGTATGGATCTCTCTGAAATTGTACTTCAATGTACCATACCACAAAGGGAAGGCTGGGATTGATTTTGGGAGTAATTGATTCAAAATTTTAGTAATTAAGGGCCAAAAAGGGGCAAAAAACAAGCTTTTTTCTAGTTTCAGGACAATAACTTGTGTGTAAGTGTATGGATCTTTATGAAATTGTACTACAAGGTTTCATATCACAAAGGGAAAGCTGGGTTTGGGTTTGGGGTAATTGCCCTAAAGGTTTAGGAATTTGGGGCCAAAAAGGGGCCTAAAAACAAGCATTTTTTTAGTTTCCAGACAATAACTTGTGTTCAAGTGTATGGATCTCTCTGAAATTGTACTGCAAGGTACTATACCACAAAGGGAAGTCTGGGATTGAGTTTGGGGGTGATGAATCATAAGGGGGTTCAAAAAATTTAGGGGAGGGATTTTTTTTCCTTTTTTTCCTGTTTTTTTTCTTTAAAATTTTCCATTTTAAATTGGTTATTTCTGATTTATATATAAAAGCAAATAATAATGATATGGTTTGAATAGGTAAATTAAAAATTTTTGATATGCTGAATCTAACAGTGTATGTATTTAGATTTTGGATATTGGACTATAATAGGTAAATTAAAATTTTTTAAGTTCTTAGACCACATTCATTCTGTGTCAGAAACCTATGCTGTGTCAAATATTTAATCACAATCCAAATTCAGTGCTGTATCAAGCTTGAATGTTGTGTCCATATTTGCCCCAACTGTTCAGGGTTTGACCTCTGCAGTTGTATCAAGCTGCGCCCAGCGGAGCATTTTATTGTTTTGTTGATAAGATGATTAAGGTAACACTAAATTTTGTAATGGAATGGGATTCAATCTGTTTTTGCTTGTTTTATTTTTTGAATGATCTATGATTTTGATACAAGATATGAAGACGACACATGTATTCCTATAGTGATATATGGGCTGACAGTTGTATACATTATTGTATTTAAGGATGCCACCAGTACCACTCAGGTAGCCACAACTGTGGCCCATGAATTAGGACATAACTTTGGTATGGAACATGATAATTATTCAGTTTGTCTTTGTCCAGACCAGAAATGTATCATGGCAACTACAGGAGGAGGGTAAGTTTTATTAATGCATTTGACCCAAAAGAGGTCAAATGAACATTTAAAAGGAGAAGGTTCACGAAGGGTTATAATTGGCCCTACATTTTTTATGTTTTTTAAATTGGGCCAAAAAATTACAAATTTCCCATAGAAATACTTATGATAATACTATTAAGACAAAAATATTTTTTTTTGGCACCTTCCTTTAAAATTTATGAAGCTATGACCCCTTAAATAAACATTACTAGTATTTGTATTTAAAGGTCAATTTTTGTAAATTTTTTCTATAATTTTAATTGTTTTTGGCATAATTAACCTGGGCCACCATCCACGATCCAAAAAGTTTTTATATTAACGAATTCTATATCAAAATTGGAATCTTTCGGTTACAAAACATTTTAGATCGTAGGTGGCCGCCAAGGTTTTTCTAAAGCTTTTAGGTCTGCAATTTTGCCCCAAATCATCATATTTTGACAAAATGTCCTAAATAGGCTTACTTTTGAGAATATATTATGTACTTTTATGAAAAGAACTGATTTATTTAGCATAAAGGCTTTTGAAATAGACCCATTTACGAACTATTTTGTGACCTTTTTGGTGTTTTATGATAAAGTTGATATTTTAGGCCATTTTGTGCCATAAGTGAACCTTGTCCTTTATGATTATATTCATGTTTATTTCTTCATAAATATGCTTTAAAAGAACCTATCTGCACAAATAATTTCTAAATGGTATATATTCTTGAAAAAGTTAAATTAGAGAGATAGGTCAGATCATTAACTGATATAAATGTCCTATCGTGGATTCATTATTAATGGGATACCAATTTATGTGGATGTTTTGGGTAAAGATAAACCACAAATTAAAATGTTCAATAGAGTAAAATTTTTCTACTTGCTTGTATTCACAAATCTATGATTTATTTTTATCAATAAAATGAGGATTGAAAAAAAAAAGTCTATTGGGGGGGGGGGGTAAACCTGCTGTAAACAGTATTCTTCTGTGAAGTAGATTAAAAATACAACCTTGAAAAAAATCATTCAACTGTGGATAAACAAAATAATACAAAGTAATGATAAGAGTTCATGATTAATTGTTTGTGTCAAAATGCAAATTGACTAATTTAGGTTGGCCAGGCCTTTCCTAATTCAAAATATACAATATACATTCAAATAAAACAATAATCACTCTTTGGTTTTAAATGAAATATATGATCTTGGCCATGTAATATTTTTTGCTATTAAGGAAAAACAGTTTTCTAAAGCATGCTATGAAGTCTTTCAGTTTTTCAAGATTGATGTTTAACAACTAATATTTGCAGAATTATATTTTGGGTAATTTCACCATAACATCCCAACTGCAATATTAAATTACAAAAAAATCAACTGAATAGTTTTACATTTTGTGCACAAAAATGTAAAAAAAAAAAAGATAACAGCAATAAAAAGAATATCCTCTTTTCAAAATGCCTTATTATTTTAATTATTTATATACATTCAATTAATGATTGTTATTTGTAGAAGCAAAACACCAACAAAATGGTCCTCATGTTCACAGACAGTATTAAATGATAATTTTGAGATTGGTTTAGACTACTGTCTGAAGAATATTCCAGAACAGTTGTTTAATGCTCCCTATTGTGGAAATGGATTTGTTGAGGAGGGAGAAGAATGTGATTGTGGATTACCTCAGGTAAGTGATAATACTGGACACATGGACAGGATGATACCTGATACAGGGATATCTCAGGTTCAAGGGTCATCACACCAGACGCAGAGAGCTATAATATCATCGCCCTAGGATTCTCCACAGCTCTACAGAAGCTCCAAGGAGAAGTTTATGTTTCCCTTGATTTTCAATGAAATTCCCCAATGCCGCCTCATGATTTTTGAAAAAATTCTCAATCCGAATGCACATGATTCCAATATTCAACGAAATAAACAAAACCTGTTTCATTATTTAGATCCTATCCAGTCAATATCATGCAATTTATTGATAATATGTTAAACTTTGATATTTAAGTTACAATATGATGTGTATTTGAATTACTATACTTATCAAGAAAACAGTTCTTTAATAAAAATTACATAAGTAATGTAATGTGTATGATTCTGTTATAAAAAAAAAAACGTTCAACTACCAATTACAATCATAAACAAAGGAAGATAACTCAAACTATAATTTTTAACTTTGTCAATGTTTTATTTAAAAATTCACAAATTTGCAAAATGAAAGCAATCTTTACCCTTCAGTGCTCACAAGCACTTTGATTGTGGAATATTACAGGTACAAAATGCCCAAAAAATCATTTTGAGTAACTCTGGTAAAAGATGATAAAGTTTTGTTTGGTTATACTGGTAGAGGACCAGTTACCATCAGAAAATCAGTTTTTATTTTTGCGGTCGTATATTGGTATGACGTTGGCTTCGTCGTCGTTGATGTTCCGAAGACACATTGGTTTTCGCACAATAACTTTAGTTTAAGTCAATGTATCTCTATGAAATTTTACCATAAGGTTCAATACCATAAAAGGAAGGTTGGGATTGATTTTGGGGGTCATGGTACCAACAGTTAAGGAATTAGGGGCCAAAAAGGGGCCAAAAATAAACATTTTTGTAACTTCCAGACAATAACTTGTGTTTAAGTGTATGGATCTCTCTGAAATTATACAACAAGTTTCCATACCACAAAGGAATGGTGAGGATTGGCTTTGGGGGGTTATGGCTCAAACCGTTTAGGAATTAGGGGCAAAAAATGGGAAAAAACAAGGGTTTCCTGGTTAATGGACAATTTAAAAGCAGTGTAAGGGAGGTAATCCAAAAACAAAATTGTACAATGTTGTACAATGTTGGATAACCTCCCATTACACTGCTTTTGAATTATCTATTTTAGACTTTTATGATGTATTTAAATTGGTTATTATGGTTGCAAACTCCATTGGAAATTTGAATTGAGATTATGACCATATCTTGAGGGAAAGATTTTTTTTTGGGAAAGGGGGGGAGGGGGGTAAAAAAGAAATTGTGAGGGGCAATTTTTTTTTTTTTGGGGGGGGGGGGGTCAATTCGCAACAGCATAGTGTATTGCACAAAAGCAAAAAATTGAATGTAAATTCAAGTCATATAACCAATTCTAAGTTCTTTGACTACTGTTATTCCGTGTCAGAAACCTATTATGTGTCAAATATTTAATTACAATCCAAATTCATACCTGTATCAAGCACGAATATTGTGTCCATTTTCGCCCCAACTGTTCAGGGTTGGACCTCTGCGGTCATATCCAGCTGCTCAGCGAAGCATTTTATTAGTCCCCTACCGACGAAGTCGTAGGGGACTTTAGGTTTGCACTCTGTCTGACTGTCCGTCTGTCCATCCATCAGTCCGGCAACTCAGTTTTCCACACTGTTTTCTTCGTTCTTGAAGATATCGATTTGATATTTGGTATATAGTTTTATCATGACAAGTTATAGATCAAGTTCGAATTTTGTTCCGGTCTGATGATTTAGCCCAGAGTTGTGGATCATAAAAAACTCCATAACTAATGTTAGAGTACTATGTTAAACCATATATCTGTACAAAGGGAGATAACTCATTTTTTAAAAGACATTCCTTGGTAAATTTTTTGAGGAATTATGTGGCAGGTTTATATGTTATTTTGTTTAAACTAATTTTCTGAATGCTACATGTATATTTATATATATATTTTTTTTATTAAGTGAAATCCTTTAATTAGAAAATAATCTATTTTTATTAAGGTATATATTTCATTACATTACATTGTGTAGATAAAAGTTGTTGACATTTTATAGATAAGTTACAAATCTATATTAGTTTGTGACAAATGAAAGAAAAAATATTTGGAACTATTAATTATATTTGATTGTAATTTGAAAATAGATATACATTGTATTACATCATATCTAATTTTAGAGAACTATTAATCATATCTAATGTTAGAGTGTTATAGGTTTTCCACACTTTTTTTCATCATTCTTGAAGATATTGACTTGATATTTTCTTTTTGTTTACACCATGACAAGTTATAGAACAAGTTAGCATTTTGTTCCAGTATAATGAATTTTTACCCGGTAGGGGACTATGTATTGCCATGCAATACTCTTAGAATGCTTGTTCTCAAATAATTTGAATAGGAACTCTTTGAACATAAAAAGTTAGGCTTTGCACCATAGATTCAGACTTAAATTCCTCTTATAAACAATGAAAAGTGGGTTACTAGTGTTGATTTTTGCAGGAAATTTTATAGGTACTGTACCAGTTACCGTCTCTTCTGAATCTTACAATTAATTGATAGAATTTACATTTAATCAGGACATTAATGTTTTATTTTGCTTTTGAGTAGCAAAGAGAGAAGAAGGTATGTCAATTGAACCAAACACTTCACCATTCTGACCATTAAATTTGGAAGGTCTCCTTCCCACTCTGAATGTGAACTTTATGTTCTGTGAAATCAACCACTTACAATGTATTGAAGAGATGTATCAACTTTAATTTTGAAATTCATAAGTTTTCACAAGTTAATGACATTATAAAGCGATGTTCTCATGTCCCTCACAAAGGAGTAGGTCCGGTAAGGGCTGTTTTTGGCCTCAAAATTCAGGTTCATCTGATGAAAGATTTTGGACACTTTTTAAACACTTAAGTAGATATAAGAAGATGTGGTATGAGTGCCAATGAGACAACTCTCCATCCAAGTCAAAATTTATAAAAGTAAACCATTATAGGTCACAGTACGGTCTTCAACACTGAGCCTTGGCTCACAAGGAGCAGTAAGCTATAAAGGGCCCCAAAAATTACTAGTGTAAAACCACTCAAACGGGAAAACCAACGGTCTAATCTATATAAAAAACGAGAAACAAGAAACACTTATGAACCACATCAACAAACGACAACTACTGAACATCAGATTCCTGACTTAGGACAGGTGCAAACAAATGCAGCGGGTTTAAACGTTTTAATGGTACCAAACCTTCACCCTTTTTCTGAAACAATAGTGTAACATCACAACATAGAAAGACACACTATAAAATATCAACTGAAATAGCTTAACTCAATCAAAGGACATATTAACACCAGTGAACATACACTAAACAAATAAATTTGACCTATGATATAATGTAAATAAAAAATAAATAAACTAAGGGAAGAATAATAAAAGTAACATGTTATATATCGGTATGAAATGTTAAACAATATGCTCGAACAAAAATATCAACCATTTGCAATAACTTTAAACACAGGTAAATGAAAATAAATAAGTGTCTACTTCAGTCGATTCAATTAGTTTATGTGAAAGATTTGAACTGATTTTTTCAATAAAGACGCTCAAATTCAAGCTTAAATATGAAAAATCTATCAAATATGCCATAATATGTCACTTTTTAGATGGTTTTTGTCAAAAATGAAAGTGGCCGCATCCGTGTTCATTCTAAACCTTTATAATGTTATGTATTATCATCAAATACAACTTGCATTTAAATATTAAGAATGAACACAAATGCGCCCACTTCCATTTCAGACGGAAACCGTCTAAAAATTAACCAAAATGCTAAAATTTCGAAGATTTCAGTAATCTAGCATGACTTAATGATGCTAGTACCCGATACATGTGCATTGTATTGTCAAAAACAGCCCATATTTATTTAACAGAAGTATTCTTCTTTCCAATAAATAGCTAAAAATTCACATATTAACAATTTTGTAAAACTGCTATATTTTGGGGCCAAAAGGGGTCTTACTGGGCCTGCTCCTTTATTTTCCCTCATCATGTTCAATTTACAGAAAATCCAATATTGCCCTATCTTAATCAGATCAAACAAAATTTTGTTTTTACAAATGAATTAAAAATACTTGTCTGTACCATGTCAGCAGTATGTTGCTTTTAAGCACCACTTCCGTTTTTGAATAAAACAGCAGGTAACAGTAACTGGTAACAGGTCTTTGACCAGTAGTGTTATTTATAGAACATTGTGATTACTGTAGACAGATGTTAAAAAATATAATGTACCGTAGTACGTACATAGCCTCATTTAAGGAAAAATTACCTCAAATTAGAGGTTCTTCATATTTGAATAAAAAAAGATCCAGAGGTGTGGAATGAGAAGACAATCATAGAGACCAAAAAGATCAAGAGATGTGGAATGATAGCCAATGAGAAGACAATCGTAGAGACCAAAAAGATCAAGAGGTGTAGAATGAAAGCCAATGAGAAGACAATCGTAAAGACCAAAAATATCAAAGGGTGTGAAATGATAGCCAATGAGAAGACAATCGTAGAGACCAAAAAGATCAAGAGATGTAGAATGATAGCCAATGAGAAGACAATCAGAGAGACCAAAAAGATCAAGAGGTGTGGAATGAGAGCTTATGAAAAGACAATCGAAGAACAAGATTTAAATGATTATACATTACTGTACTGCCTATAATAATTACCAAAAACTCATACATTACATAGGAAGCTATAAGAGGTCCCAGTAAGACTAGACGGAAGACAATGTTTAAATGAAAACCAACAAGCAGACTTATGCTACAACAATAAACAAAGAACAAATATGATGGACAGTGACAAACAACAACATCTCAATCCTGGCTTTGGACATGCACATGAATGTCAATTTACAGGGTCAAATCAGCCAAAAATCGTACCTTGTCTATTCAAACAAATTGTTGTCAAATTCTTGCTATTTCTTTTGTGCTTTTCATACAGTTTTGAATTCAATTCATCTCACATATTTCATAAGAAAAAATCCTTAGACACAATTATTTCTGTCACACTTTTCTCAGGAACTATAGACACAATTATTTCTGTCACACTTTTCTCAGGAACTACAGAACAGAATGACTTTATTTGGTCAACAACTTGACAGTGATAATTATAATGTGTGAGCACTTTAGGTATCTGTCAGGCCAATTCTTTCTGTATGCCTATACTTTTCAATTTGTTGAATGAACATTTAATCACCCTTTCTCCAAATCTACTGAAAAGAATGACTTTATATATAGTCAGCAGCTTGGCAGTGATGAGTTGTAACATATGAGCGTTTTTCCTTCATTTATAGGAAATATTTTGAAATTAAGTATTATATGTATTACAGATATGCGACAGTAAGTGTTGTAATGCATCGTCATGTAAGTTGTTAAGTCACGCTAGATGTGCTACAGGCAGATGTTGTGACTTAAATAATTGTCAGGTGAATATTATATTAGAAACATAAGATATTGTGTGATATGAATATTGTTATTTTTTTGTCTAGACCTTTGCTCACAATATTATGATAAAACTATGATGTGTTACTTGGATATTTTTTTTTTTTCAGTCCAGGTATAAGGAAGGCTTTTCTGAAACCCGCCCTATTCATATTTTATTCACAGAAATGTTCAAATATGACTAATAAGTGATCATTACCAACCTAACCAATGTGCCAGTTTGGTATTGGTCTATCAAATTACCAGACCTGTTGATAATTAAATCATGCCTTCAAATTACCAGACCTGTTGATAATTAAATCATGCCTTCAAATTACCTGACCTGTTGATAATTAAATCATGTCTTCAAATTACCTGACCTGTTGATAATTAAATCATGCCTTCAAATTACCTGACCTGTTGATAATTAAATCATGCCTTCAAATTACCTGACCTGTTGATAATTAAATCATGCCTTCTTTTAGTGATAATAGTGACACTTTAAACATTTGGTGTGTTTGAAGTGTTTTTCTTAGTTTATCTTCATCAGGGAGGCTCAAACCCCAAAAAATGAAGCGCTTTTCTGGATTTGCCTTGAGGAACTGACAAATCCAAAAATTTGAAACAAAAGGATGTATAAATACCTGAATATATGAGAAGAAATAGTCACTGTACTTTGAATAGGTTTCACTTAGCAATGTCATGAATTGTCTAAGAAAAACATGATGTAGGGTATCGCTTATTGATTGATCGATTAATAGTTATTTGCTAAACATCCAGTGACAGTTTTTCATGTATACTTAGGATAAGAAACTGTTGCAGTTCTTACAATAGGTAGTTTCTGCAAGATAGGGACGAATGGAGGAGAAATTTGGACTGTCACTAGAAAACAATCGTATGTTGCAACAGACCACCTATGGACCTCTAAAATAGTTGTTGCAAGGGTTCTTTAAAATACAAAGAGTGTGGTACTCTCTCTACATGGAGCATCAGATTTAATGTCCCCATTCTGACATAACCAGTGTGCTAATTTATACATCCCGTCTCACTTTGGCAGTGGTTTTATAGCTGGTCAGAAGAAGACTAAGGTGTCCATATTTAGGGTTTAGTACTGTTGAATTTTTTTCAAAATATCTAAGGCTAGTAAAGATAAAAAAAAATAGCTATTACATCAACATTTATAAAAAGAAAATACAAAGATTTAATGATTTGATAACAATTTGTCAATGATTTTAGTTAGTCAAGTAGAAAAATCTTTCAGTATAAAGATATCAGATATTTATAAATTAAAGCTTGTCCATTTCCAATTCTGCACTGGTATCAACCTGAGATTCCCTTATCAGCTGAAGGTGCAAGCCAAGGGCTCATATGGGTCAAGGATTGATACCAGGGTCAATATCAAAATAGACAGGTGAAATAACTGGCCCTGGGCACAAATATCACAGGTAATTTGGCAGTTATAACATATGCTAAATCAAATTTTTTCGTAACAGTTATGTCATAATTAGATAAATAATGCCTTTTTCCATATCTACCTTGTTATTATCCCAAGATCTTGATATCTGCCAGAAGGCTTAGCACTTATTTGTGTGATGAATTATGGTTTATTACATGTGAAATTACTCTTTTAACATCAGAATAAGAACCGTAAAGCTCAGATCCATCTAATACAACACTTTTGTTGTGGGGTTTCTGTTAATGTATATTGCTACATTAATTCTTGATAAATGACCCAGTTTATGATCAGATTCCGCAACAAAATGTCCAGGAGCCATGTCTCCCTGCTCTGTCATAGCGAAAGATAAAATGGTTGACAGATTACAGAAATAATCTCATTACTTTGATCTTATGAGCACGGCAAAATAATACGTTATCCTGCCATGTGGCGACATTGAATTGCTTCTGTTAAAAAAACATTTGGCTTACTTTGTTGATATGACATAATCAAAAGTGGCAAAATCTGTATCAATTATATGATAATATGATTTAGAAGAGTAAAACAAATATTTAAAAAACATGAATAATGATTTATTAGGAATTTTTGTTTACACATAGCAATACAATTTTTAAAAATTTTTCTACAGCCAAAGTCTGCAGCAACTCTTTGTCGATTATCACCAGGTGAATGTGATTTGCCAGAGTTCTGTGATGGGGAAACAGAATATTGTCCGTCAGATGTGCACATCATGAATGGTATGCCATGCAGTGGAGGACAGGTAAATTAATATCCAACTTCAATCTATTCATATACAGTCCTACAGAGACCTGTCTTCAGGACAGTCAATCTCAAATAAAGTGTATGCAGAATAGCAAAAATAGCTTACAGATTGCAGATATTATGATGTTTGTAGTTCTGTTCTAAAATATCATATGATAATTTGAAATTTTGAACTAAGATATCACATCTACACATATCCAGGTACACAATACAACAAGCAAACCAGACTGATGCACTCCAATAAAATTTTTGTTGAGCCTGCAACATTTTGTGATGGAAGCTAGACTTAGCAATCCTAAATTTCATGGCGTCTGGGGCAATAACATTTAGGTTCAGTCTGTGGTTAAACTTTAAACATCAATAACTTTGATTAACCTTTATGGAATTTGGACAGAAACTTTTTTTATGATGAAAAGAGCGTTCCAGTTCAAAATTTAAAAAACATTTTTTTTCATTCAGTATTTTACTGATAAATTGACTCAGTTATTTTTTGGCAGTTTACATTAAGATACAGTCTGAGGTTAAAGTTTTCTAGACATCAAACCTTTATGGAATTTCACTAAACCTGGACAGAAGCTATGATAAAAAACAGTATCCAGAGCAAAGTTTTTCATTTTTTTTTCCATTTTTTCCATATTTTACTGATTAAAGCATTTTACTTAGTTTATTTGCAGTTATTAATTAGATACAGTCTGGGGTTAGAGTATTTTTTAGACATCAATAGCTTTTTCAAAACTTCATAGAAATTTATGGAACTGTGCTAGATACTTTTTTTAAATGATTCAGAGATAATAGCTATTTTAGAAAAAATTATATATTTTTTTCATTTTTCCATATTTTACAGATAAAAGGACTTATTTTTTGCTGTTAACATTTATATATGGTTTGGGATTACACATTTTTTAGACATCAACAACTTTGTCAAGTCTTCATGGCAAAAGCTTCTTCAAGTTGAAGTAATAGCATCTGAAGAAAAAGTTTGAATATTATACTGATAAATGGACTTAGTTTTTGGCAGACTTGAATTTTGACACCCCAATAGTAGACTGACAAAAAATATCTATCTGTATTTTATTTTTTTCAAAGGAGGGGTAAACTGGTATGTAAACATCTGTCAGTCCATCAGTTACATAAATTTTTTGTCCAGCTACAAATCAGAGCTTCCTCAGTGATTTTGCTAGCGCTCATCATTTTCGTCATTTACGAAAAGGTTTTTAAAATGATGAAAGATTTTTAAATCAATTTCGTCACATAAATTTGAAAAGTGTAAAAATATTTTCGCATGAAAATACTATAATTCTACCTGTCTTCATGTTTTTGACAAGTTTATATATAAGTTGTGATTACAGGTTATCCGCTTATCACCATCGAATGGGTCACTAATCCGTTAATTAATAAACCTCATAAATAATTGACCATCATAATTATTTTTCCCAGTAAAATCAGCCAGTCTGCATTTCAATTTCAATATTTTTCAAACGACCGCAATTTGAAGTTTGTTTATCATAGTTTCGTCATTTGAACAAAATGTTTTTTCCGCGGACAGTTATCATTTTAATTTCTATATATTTCAAACACTCACAATGTGCAGTTCGTTTTTCATAGTTTCGTCATGAACGAGTTTTCGTCATATTTTATATAACTTTTCTTCAAAAACTTTCAACAATTTCGATTAAAGAGAAAGAACTTTATTCAAAACGTTCAGAAATATTTCCACAAGTCAAACAGGTGCTTCCTTTACTATGTACTGCGCATGCAGGAAAGTATTCTTATAAATTAGACATTAAAACATAAAATACGAAATCATTTAGTATAAAAATAAACGAAGGAGACAAATATATTTCTTACTAAGCAACTTGATTTAGAAATATGATAATTTCCTGCCTTTTGTTAAAAACGAACCAATGCGTATATGAATCCAGATTCATTCTGAATTTATCATCCTCCTGTCACTTCCCGTTTTCATTTCATTTAAAAATCGAAAGTAATCATGATCTATTCTTGATTAATTTACAATATACAGTCATTCCAATATTGATTTGTACAAATCCTTGGTTCCAAGTTTATAGAAATGAATTCCAAATATCGATTTAACCTTTTTTACAAGGTGATTCCTGGTTTAAAAAAAAAAGAAACCCAACTTTTGTTGATCAGGAATGTCCCCTGAAAATAATCGAAGTGAAATTGTAAACTAGAAATCCGGATCCTTATTAGATCTTATTATAATCTTCATATTTAAGCACCACATCTATCAAATTATGCAATAACTGCCTGAGCATGCATAAGTTCTTCAAAGATGTATAGCTAGTTATACATATCTTTGGTCCATTGCTTTTACCCCAAAAAAGGTTGATTTTCATCTCGCGCAAAAGTGACTAAAGCCCTCAAAATCCTAGCTGAAAGCCTGGCTTCCTGAAATTTAGTTTCAAACTTCACGTATTCATGCTTTACTGTGTGATGTATTTTCAGTTTCACTGCTTATCAACTTCTTACCCAAATTGGTCATGGCATGTATGAAATTTTCTTCCATTTTCTTCTGAAACTTCAAATCAAGGTTTTCTGAAATTAGGAATCTAGCTTCCTGTACAGTGGCTTGCTATACCATGGGAAGCGTTTTCACATTCATTGTTTGTCAACTTCCTGTTAACCAAATACTTTAAGTAAGGATATCATTTGTGAGCAATAAATAGCTCAGAGTTCAAGTTGTTATTTTTATTTTTAGTCATACTGTTACAATGGAACTTGTACAACACCTACAGGTCAATGTAAACTGTTATGGGGGTCTACAGGAAGAGTATCAGATCCAATCTGTTTTAAAATGTTAAATATCAATGGTAGCAAGTATGGTAACTGTGGTTATAACTGGATAACTAGGAGATATGAAAGGTGTGACAAGGAGTAAGTATAAACTGATACAACTTGGTAGATATTGACTCTTTACAACCTACTAAACCACTGCTATGTATGTTAGAAATGACATTTTGAACTCTGTAGTTAAAAAAAAATTCTCATTTTTCTTCAATGAATTGTGACATTAATCTGCAATAAATAGTTGAGGCTTGATATAGTTATACAAGATGGTGCTCCACAATACATTCATCTGCTATAAATAGTTGAGGCTTGATATAGTTATATAAGATGGTGCTCAACAATACATATGTTGATATTTTGGAGTATTTTCAAATAATAAGTATTACTGTTGATTCATTTATTTTTATGGGTACCAATTTCGTGGAATGAAGAAAAATAGTGTCTTCCTGGATATTTTAAATCAGGGCTTTTCCAAATTTTGCTTACAAGTCTAAAGAAAATTTATACTTCTTTGAACATTTAAATTCAGGGTTTACCAATACCCATGAGGTCCACGAAAAATTTGTACCCCACAAATTTAAAGTGAATCCACAGTGTGATATTTTATTGTTTTGACAGGGATGTTGACTGTGGTTTATTACACTGTGTACATCTAAATGAGAAGTTGATGTTTTGGAGTGAACAGATATCGCATGCAACCCCTGCTACCTTTCTCACCAAGGGAGATAAAAAATATGTTTGTCGATCAGCCATCATGGATGTTGGTTTAGATATGCCTGATCCTGGACAAGTTCCAGATGGGTCTAAATGTGGTGATCATAAGGTTTGTTATTTTAAGTCCCAAAAGCTTGGTCTCATTGAAATAATTAAAAGGCCTATCATTTGGAAGGTTGGTATAATGCCATTGTATCTTTGATATATTCTTGGTTTATCTTTATTGATGACAGGTTATTTTTTACACTAATCTTATGTGCATAGGTTTTGCTTTTGGAAGTCAACATAAATGTTACTTAAAAAAAAACTACAATTTCTTTGAAAATATCACAATGTGATGTAAAATTATTATATATTTTTCATTTTTTTACAGACATAGTGATGAAAAGTTTTCACATTGTGCCCAAAATTGAAATGACATTTCACTTGTTTAAAAATTACAGAAAGAAATTTAACATTGTGACCTGTACAGTTTCTAATGACTTAAATACAATAAACTGGGTAGACTGTATATTCTGGAGCAAATGATTGGCCTTGAACCAAGCAAACAAAACATACATCATAATTTAGCCTTGAAAACTGATAATGAAGAATGGTTTTATTACAGATTTGTTTGAAGAAGAAATGTGTTCCTTTGAGTTTAGTAAGCACACCAACCTGTCCAAATTGTCATGGTAATGGAGTAAGTATGCAATAATGGCATCAAAATGCATGTGTTTGAACTCTTGTTTACTCATGGCAATTATATTAACCTCTGACAAGTATTAGAACATATTTTGGGGGTAATGTCAGAAATACCTAGGGAATTGTTCAACGTTACTGGTTGAGAAAAAAAAAACAGAGGATACATTTTAATAATTGTAATAACTGCCTTTCATACACACTGTACAAGCTATCAAAATTGGAAGTTTTGTTTTTCAAATTCAATGAAATGATCAGAATTTAAAAAAATAAGTAAATGTACGATTAAAATAGTATTTTCACTGAGACCTACAATTAGTCTTCATTGCTGTTATTGGCAGTTTTGTGTCTTGCCTTGATGAAGTTGAAATACTAGTAGTTAGACTAAGTAGTGCTGTTTCTCGCGGTGTCAACAAGGTATAAGTTTGGAATTAGATCAGTTAAAGGGGAACTACACGTGGAATGTCAATAGTATTTGATATGCAATTGTATTAGCATTGACAAACCTCATTTCCATGGAGATTATTTGGCTCTGCTCCTTCAGTCATGGTCTATTGACTTTAAACTTTTGCTTTATAGTTGACATGTTAAAGTTTATGATTAGGTCAACCACATGTTGAAGGTCAATGATGTTTCGTATGCAGATTTATTAGCATTGGCACATTTCATTACCATGGAGATTATTTGAACTGTCAGTCATGGTCTATTGACTTGTAAATTTAGCAAATGAAACTTTTGGTTAGTCTATGATATTTGGTATGCAGTTGTAATAACATTTGTACATTTTATTGACTTCGAAATTTGTGCATAGTTTTTATGTTAAATTTTGTGTTAAGGTCAATTACCAGGAACCACTAATGATAATAGTATTTGATATGCAGTTGTATAAGCATTGGCATTTTTAAATTCCACAGATGTTATTTGGCCCTGCATCTTCAGTCATGGTTCATTGACTTTGAATTTTGCAAAGTTTTCATATTAAAGTATTGACATTTTAATTTCAGCAGTTGCATTTTACTATCAAAATGACATATAAGTGTTTCTCTTTTCTCGTTTTTTATATAGAGATTAGACTGTTGGTTTTCCTGTTTGAAAGGTTTTACACTAGTCATTTTTGGGGCCCTTTATAGCTTGCTGTTTGGTGTGAGCCAAGGCTCCGTGTTGAAGGCCGTACTTTGACCTATAATGGTTTATTTTTACAAATTGTGACTTGTATGGAGATTTGTCTCATTGGCACTCATACCACATCTTTTTATATCTATATAGGCGAGACATAACTCTATGTCAACAGTTTATTAAAAGTTTATACTATTATTCAGCAGATTTACTTGCTGAAATATTTGGTTGATATGTAGTATTTTAACTTTGCAATCAATTTTTTATCTGGTTTTTGCAGGTTTGTAATACAATGGGACAGTGTCATTGTAATGAGGGCTTTGCTCCACCATACTGTGATGAGCCAGGCCATGGTGGTAGTTTACACAGTGGACCAGTCAAAATACAAAGTAATTATCTCACTTTATACTAAATATGTTCATATCAGGTTTACAGATACAGTATCTTATGGTGAACTATTTGAAATGATGTATTAAACATTCTTTATAACACTAATTTGTCAAATTGTTGGTTTGGCACAGCTTTGGTTATATGAGGTGAAGGAGGCTTAAACTTGATTTAAGATAGAAATTTAAAATGAGTTTTATAATGAATATCATAGTCTTAACAGAGAAGCATTTATTAACCCAGTAACTGTTTTCTAATATTTAGTAGTCCTATTGTGTTAGGTTGTAAAGCAAATTGATTTTACTTACCAGTATTTATTTTTTGGTAGGCAATATACAATACTATTTTAACAACTATTAAGACAGGATGTAAGGTTACAAATTAAAAACTTTCAAAATTCCCTCCTTTTAATAACTCTTACTGGCTCACCACTTATTCTATCTATCTTTAAGTGTAGAACAAATTGTTTTATTTATCTGAAATGCAACTCTTAAGACTATCTGCTAGAAGATAAACTTCAACATGAAAAGTAAAAAAACAAGTCTAACCTCAATACTTTTTCATTTGGCTGTCTCCAGTCATGAACCTGGTCAATGGTAGTCCTTTGTAATATCCTAACTTCTTTGCTGTTTAGGATTTTTGTGTTGATGAAATTAAATTGATAGTTGATGTTATAGTAGGATTAAAGTTCACAAAGGGCTTAGATTGGCCCTAAGATTTTTATGTGTTTTTTAGCTCACCTGGCCCAAAGGGCCAAGTGAGCTTTTCTCATCACTTGGCGTCCGTCGTCCATCGTCCGTTGTCCGTAAACTTTTACAAAAATCTCCTCTGAAACTACTGGGCCAAATTCAACCAAACTTGGCCACAATCATCATTAGGGTATCTAGTTTATAAAATGTGTCGGGTGACCCGGCCAACCAACCAAGATGGCCGCCATGGCTAAAAATAGAACATAGGGGTAAAATGTAGATTTTGGCTTATATCTCTGAACCCAAAGCATTGAGAGCAAATCTGACATGGGGGTAAAAATGTTTATCAAGTCAAGATCTATCTGCCTCTAAATTTTCAGATGAATCGGACAACCCGTTGTTAGGTTGCTGCCCTTGAATTAGTAATTTTAAGGAAATTTTGCCGTATTTGGTTATTATCTTGAATATTATTATAGATAGTGATAAACTGTAAACAGCAATAATGTTCAGCAAAGTAAGTTCTACAAATAAGTCAACATGACCAAAATGGTCAGTTGACCCCTTAAGGAGTTATTGCCCTTTTATAGTAAATTTTTAACAATTTTTCGTAAATTTTTGTTATCTTTTACAAAAATCTTCTCCTCTGAAACTACTAAGATGAATTTAACCAAAGTTGTAAACAATCATCATTAGGGTATGTAGTTTAAAAATTGTGTCTGATGACCCTGCCCGCGAATCAAGATGGCGGACATGGCTAATAATAGTACATAGGGTAAAATGCAGTTTTTGGCTCATATATCTAAACCCAAAGCATTTCGAGCAAATCTTTCAAAACAAAATTGTTCATTTGGTCAAGATCTATCTGTCCTTAAATTTTCAGACAATTCAGGAAACCCATTGTTGGGTTGCTGCCCCTGAATTGGTAATTTTTAGAAATTTTTTCAGCTTTTGGTTATTATCTTGAATATTATTATAGATAGTGATAAACTGTAAACAGCAATAATGTACAGCAAAGTAAGACCTACAAATAAGTCAACATGACCAAAATGGTTAATTGACCCCTTAAGGAGTTATTGCCCTTTATAATCAATTTTTATACGACCGCAAAATAATTTTTGTGGTCAATATTGGTATGACATAGGCGTCGTTGTCGTCTTCCGGCGTCGTCCAAAAAAACACATTGGTTTTCGCACTCTAACTTTAGTTTAAGTGAATGGATCTCTATGAAATTTTATCACAAGGTTCAATACCACAAAAGGAAGGTTGGGATTGATTTTGGGGGTTATGGTACCAACAGTTAAGGAATTAGGGGCCAAAAAGGGGCCAAAAACAAGCATTTTTGTAACTTCAAGACATAACTTAAGTGTTAGTGTATGGATCTCTCTGACATTGTACCACAAGGTTCCATATCACAAAGGGAATGCTGGGATTGATTTTGGGGGTAATTGCCTCAAAATTTTATGAATTGGGGGCCAAAAAAGGGGCAAAAAATTAGCATTTTTCTAGTTTCATGACAATAACTTGTGTGTGAGTGTATGGATCTTTCTGAAATTGTACTACAAGGTTCCATATCACAAAGGGAAAGCTGGAATTGAGTTTTAGGGTAATTGCCCAAAACGTTAAGGAATAAGGGGCCAAAAAGGGGCAAAAAAACAAGCATTTTTCTAGTTTCAGGACAATAACTTGTGTGTAAGTGTATGGATCTTTATGAAATTGTACAACAAGGTTCCATATGACAAAGGGAAAGCTGGGTTTGAGTTTGGGGGTAATTGCCCAAAACGTTTAGGAATTTGGGGCCAAAAAGGGGCAAAAAAACAAGCATTTTTCTAGTTTCCAGACAATAACTTGTGTTCAAGTGTACAGATCTCTCTGAAATTGTACTGCAAGGCACCATACATTGTAACACAAAGGGAAGGCTGGGATTGAGTTTGGGGGTAATGAATCATAAGGGGGTTCAAAAAATTTGAGGGGGGATTTTTTTTCCCTTTTTTTTCTTAAAAATTTTCCATTTTAAATTGGTTATTTCTGATTTATATATAAAAGCAAATAATAATGATATGGTTTGAATAGGCAAATTAAAATTTTTTAAGTTCTTAGACCACATTCATTCTGTGTCAGAAACCTATGCTGTGTCAAATATTTAATCACAATCCAAATTCAGTGCTGTATCAAGCTTGAATGTTGTGTCCATACTTGCCCAAACTGTTCAGGGTTCGACCTCTGCGGTCGTATCAAGCTGTGCCCAGCGGAGCATTTTATTAACAATTTTCATAAATTTTGTAAATTTTTACAAAATAATTTCCACTGAAACTACTGGGCCAAGTTCATTATAGATAAAGATAATTGTAAGCATCAAGAATGTTCAGTAAAGTTAGATAAACAAACACATCACCATCACCAAAACACAATTTTGTCATGAATCCATCTGTGTCCTTTGTTTAATATGCACATAGACCAAGGTGAGCGACACAGGCTCTTTAGAGCCTCTAGTTTTATTAAAGTGTCCAAAATACTACAAATTTTACATAGCAATATGTGATATTACTTTTAATACAAAATAACTTCTTTTTGGAACCTCACATTTAAGTTTCCCAGACTATTAAAAAACAGGAGGATATTCAGATTATAAAAAATATTTAGCCGATAATAAATAGACTTTGGATTGACCTACAGCATAGTATACATGTTTAACTATATGATAAATGTTGAATCCACCAAAACCAAACTCAACTTTAATACATTATGAAACTAGGTAACATCTCAAAATCCAAATGAAATTGTCAAGTATACTTATTGTATAAATTTGAAAAGTAGGATAGATATCATGAACAAGAGACAAAGGATAATGAGAATCAATCATACCTCCTCCGCTTTATTAAAATATGCATTGATCTAGTTATCTTTTCTATTTATGAATTTTTTAATCAACAAGGTTATTTTTAGCTCGCCCAATGATATGGCTGCATTTGCAGCTTACTAATGACCCTTAAATGCCTTATTTAGTTTATCATATTGCCTAGTTTATTACTTATGGATATTTACCAAACATCTCCTGAATTCATATTACAGTATTCTAATAAATTTAATTCACAGTTTTGTTTCTTACCTTTTTAATTTTATCCATATGCTTTCATTGGATAGAACCATACAAAATCAGTATGTATCACATGTGAATGTATTAGTTATATTTCAACTGTCATGGACGATTTCTTTATAAAAGAAAATGACATTTTTCTCTTTTTCAATCTTGATTGTTGTGTCATAGTTTTTCTTTTTTAATATAAAAGTATATATACTTTTTCTAATTTATTACATAGGTTAAGAATTAGGTTTTAGTAAAAGAAAATAACATAATTTTTTGGGGTAATTTTAGTCATTAAGCTTCTTTTATTTACAACCCTTTCATCCCCACAGAAGTCAAAAATAAAAAAAAATTCTTGAATATATTGACAAAAGAACAAGATGTGATAATGACAGCTCTATTAAAACATACATGGCACCCAAGGTAGGCACTTTGAAAATGAGGTTACCACCTGTAGATGCATTTTTTGAATTTTACTAACAATTTTATGGTACAAAAAATATTTTACACTCACCAATATTTGAAGTTCTGAAGTGCCTTCCCTTGGTCCTATGTTTTTTTTTATTTAACAGCCCTAAATACCTTATTAGTCCACTACTGACGAAGTCGAAGGAGACTTTAGGTTTGTACTCCGTCTGTCTGTCTGTCAGTCCGGCAAATCAGTTTTCCAGACTTTTTTTCTTTGTGCTTGAAGATATTGATTTGATATTTGGTTATTGATTTATCATGACAAGTTACAGGTCAAGTTCAATTTTCACATTTTAGCTTTTCTCTTTGTTCAGTTAAAGCCCTTTCCCTAGAATTAATTTTTTGATGAAATACTTAAGCTTATTAATTAGTAGATTTCTGTTCAAAGGGAAATAACTCATTTTTTAAAATGACATTTTGGATTTTTTTCCTTTTCTTTGGTAAATTGTTTGAAGAATTTAGTGGTAGGTTTGTTTGTCATTCTTGAAGATATTGATTTGATAATTAGTATATAGTTTTATCATGACAAGTTACAGATCAAGTTGGAATTTTGTTCCAGTCTGATAATTTTGTGCAGAGTTATGGTCTTTGGAAATAGAAAATTCACTTAAATAATCAGTTTTCACCAGTTTTTTACGTCATGCTTGAAGATTTTGACTTGATATTTTTATGTAGTTTACACCATGACAAGTTATAGATCAAGTTAGAATTTCGTTCCATTACAATGAATTTGTAACCGGTAGGGGACTATGTATTGCCATGCAATACTCACAGAATGCTTGTTTACACTAAAATTTACAATTTAGTTTTCAGTAATATTTCCGTTTATCTGTTTTATGATTGAGGTAGTAAACTAAAAAAATGTTAGTTTAGGATTTATGATTTCATAATATAGGTAGCTACACTACAATGTCATAGAAACTGCTTTAAAACATTTCCATGAAAATACATAGTATGATTGCCAATGAGACAGCTTTCCACCAGAGACCAAATGATGTAAAAGATAGCAACTACAGTATTGGCTCCAACAATGATCAAAACCTATAACGCATAACATGCTTTAAAAGGCCCTCACAAGACAAATGTAAAACTAACAGCCTAATTTATTTTAAAAAACCAATTAACAAAAAACAAATATGATATACAGTAACAAAAGAAAACCACTGATTTTTTTTGTATAATTTTGATTGTCAAGTTCCATTTTCATTGACTATTGCATCAATTATCATTTCAAAGTTATTTCCCTGGGATTATCTCAAAATTGTTTCTGGATGAATACTTTGGAGAATATCATTGCAACATTACTACCTGTCATGAAATACAGGACAAGTGAAATTTTCAGTTACTCTTAATTACTATTTCTTAGAAATCAATTTTCATTTTCTACTGTTTAAGAATAATGTCCTCAGTCTTTTCTCAAAATAGTAAAATTGGGCTTCTTAATAATGATGCTTATTTGCTATGAGATTGGGTCTTTAAATTTTATACCATTAATGTCTACCATGAAATCCTTTTATAAGTATATCCCTTATAGATTTTTTTTTCTTTTTTCATTGAACTAGTTTGATAGGCTTGAAAAAAAAGTATATATGGTGTATTCAATTTGACAAATGTTAACATAGTATTTGTGTTTATTTTCAGAGGTGAACAGTTTGATGATTGGATTACTGGTATTTTTCTTAGTTATTTGTCCATTAGTGATTATTGCTGTAGCTGTCATCAACAGACAGAAGTTATATTATTGTTGGAACAAACAAGTCGCTGTTATATTATACAGGTAATTTGTTTCATGTTATACAGGTTACAAATGTTATTTCATACTAGTAACAAATTTCATGTTATACAGGTTACAAATGTTATTTCTCACTAGTAATACATTTCATGTTGTACAGATAACAAATGTTATTTCATACTGGTAAAAACTTTCATGTTAATATACAGAAAACAATTATATATCTGGTCATAACTTAAATTTATACCTTCTTTTTGGTTATTTGCAAGGAAGTCCAACATGCAATTTTGAAAAATTTTCTCCTCCATTCACCATCAACGATTGGATAGAATTCCCATAGATTTATTTTCAAATGAATTTACTTAATAAACTGCATAAACAAAACCTACAAACTGCTTAGAGTCTGAAAAGACTATAATTTGTGCTCAACCAGTAAGGTCGAGCACAGATTTGACCTGACAAGACTCGACATAATCTCGACGGTACTTAACTGTACTTAATTGTACTTGACTCTGGTCTAGACTTTACTTAATAAGTTTGATTGAGTAATTGATAATCTTGGTATAGTCTGAATATGGTCTCGACAAACGCTCAACCAGTCTCGACCAATGCTTGACCAGTCTCAACTCAGTCTTGACCAGTCTTGACTTTTAAATTTAGTCTCAACTGGCGTTGACTGGTCTGAATCAGCCCATCTATGTCAATTATATATTGATCTTAAAAAATGCCAGGTAATTTAGTAGTTTATTGCTGTCAAATTTGAGGATTTGATTAATAGGTAAAAAAAAGGTAGAATTTTCAGTTCAGACTAAATTCAGATAAACTTCATAACTTTTTCAAATAAACTTAGATTTTCATAAAACTCTTCAGCTGTTTCAATTATATATTGTTCTCACAAAATATCAGGTTATTTGATAGTTTGGTTTATTGCTGTCAAATTTAAGGATTTAATTAATAGGTAAAAAAAAAGCTAGAATTTTCAGTTCGGACTAAATTCAGATAGTCACCTTTAAAAATTTCTATAAATTTTTCATATCAATTGTGGGATTTTCATAAAACTCTACAGATATGTCAATTATATATTGATCTTACAAAATTTCAGGTTATTTGGGAGTTTGGGATATTGCTGTTAAATTTAAGGATTAAACTAATAGGTAAAAAAAAGCTAAAATTTTCAGTTCAGACTAAACTCAGATAAAATTCATAACTTTTTCAAATCAACTTGGATTTTCATAAAAATCTACAGCTATCTCAATTATATATTGATCTTACTAAATGCAAGGTTATTTGGTAATTTGGGTGATTGCTGTCAAGTTAAAGGATTTAATTAATAGGTATAAGAAAAGCTAGAATTTTCAGTTCAGACTAAATTCAGATAGTCACCTTTAAGAATTTCTATATCTTTTTCAAATCAAGTTGGATTTTCATAAAACTCTATGAAAATACAAGTTGATTTAAAAAAGTTTTAGAAATTTTTAAAGGTGACTTTCTGAATTTAGTCAGAACTGAAAATTCTAGCTTTTTTAACCTATTAATTAAATCCTTAAATTAAATAGCAATAAACCAAACTACCAAATAACCTGGTATTTTGTAAGATCAATATATACTTGACATACATGAGCTGGTTTAGACCGAGTCAAGACCAGTCGAGACTAAATTCAAAGGTCAAAACTGGTCGAGACTGGTAAAGACAGAGTAGAGACTTTTCGAGACTGGCCAAGCATTTGTCAAGACCATATTCAGACTATACCAAGATTATCAAGTACTTAATCCGACTTATTAAGTAAATAGATATAGGAAAGTGTGGTATGAGTGCCAATGAGACAACTCTCCATCCAAGTAACAATTTATAAAAGTAAACCATTATAGGTCACGGTACGGCCTTCAACACGGAGCATTGGCTCAAACCGAACAGCAAGCTATAAAGGGCCCCAAAAATTACTAGTGTAAAACCATTCAAAGGGGAAAACCAAAAGTCTAGACCAGAGTCAAGTACAGTTAGGTACTGTCGAGATTATGTCGAGTCTTGTCAAGTAAAATCTGTGCTTGAACTTACTGGTTGAGCACAAAATATGGTCTTTTCAGACTCTGAGCAGTTTGTAGTATAAAATAAAGTAATCTGCTTTGTATAGTTCACACTTGTACATAGTCCGCACCCTCTTCTCGCCACGAGAATTCAGGAAAAAAATGTTTTGTAACTGGTGGGAAACGTCTTTTGAAACTCTGGTAATATCAAATTGTATGTGATAGTTTGTGGTATTTTCATGGAAAACCCGTTTTTGACCATCAGGTAGAAGTTGAAAATGCTTGTTAATGATTCTAGAACATTTCACGAGTGTTTAAATAAGTCAAAATCACAAAATAACGAAAGTTGTAACCGAAAGTAAAAAAAGCATACGTAAATCAAAAATAAATACAGTGAGGGTGTGCAGAAATATTTACTTAATAGATATCACTAGAATATGATTTTGAAAGTAAAACAGTTCCATCCTTTATTAAAGTACAGTTAAATGTTTCCATCATATTAATGTTTGAAGGATCTTAAGCTAAAACAAAACACATGCGTCAGTATGAATCACCAAAATGGAATGAATAACCGATTAGGTTTTGTAGTTTATACATCGTTATGCATAAGCTGGTTCCCCGCTGGCTTATGCACTTTTTTTTCAATCTGTTATATACAAGCGGTTTCCAGTTTATGTTATGCAGTGCTGTGAAAAGAAACAAGAAATTTGTAGTGAAGCATTTGATTTTGAAATTAATCACTTTTTTAATGGATTTTGAACTAAAATTGCACATTAAAATGGATTAGGTAAAATATTAGTTTTGAAAATGATAAGGGCACCCTCTTCAATTTCAATAACAAACATGGCGGAACGTAAACAAACCTCGTGAATCAAGTTTTTCTCTTATTTCTTGCTTATCGTACTCTATAATCCGCACCCCTGCTTGGCAGCTTTAATTTTGCAGAATAAAACTGCGGACTATACAAGCCTGAATTCGGTAGTTGCAGCCATTAAATTATTCAAATTTATATGTCAACTTTATAAAAAAAACAAGTTTTTTCATGATTTAATTCATTATTGCCATTAGTTCACTGATGATTTAATATGGTTAAAATTGATAAAATAATAATATAATTGAATAAATACTTAGTAAATACTGTTTTATTTAATAGGGTTCCAAAGTTTAAAAGAAAGCCCAAAGGTCCAAAGAAGAATTTCTCAGATGGTGCCTCTGGTGAACCAGTTGAGACTACTACACGATTTAGAAATGGTGGTGGGGTAGATATTTCTGGACCTTTACTTACTGAAAAAACTCAGGACAGACCAGTACCAAAGAAGAAGCCATTTATAGAATTTAGAGCCATGAAACCATCTTCAAAACCAAAACCTCCACCAAAAGTTAAAAGTGAGGCACTATTGTCTGATTCTGAACCAGATGTACATAGGAAACTTCCAAGTGCTCCTGATCTTCTAAAACATGATCCAATAGTCAAGAAAGATTCTTTCAATAAGGAAATTTCAAAACCAGTTTTAATTAGTACAACTGACAGACGTTCAAAAGCCTTTGTGAGAGAATCTAGTAATGAAAAGTTGAAAGATGCAAACAAAAATAATCTCTCCCCACCTGTGCCTCCCCATGCAGCACTAAAACCTTCACATTCAGATCCTCCATTGAGGCCACCACCAAGACCAACATCCATGCCACCACCATCGGACAATGATAAAAAAGATAAAAAAAGTCCAAGAAAGTCAATTGTAGAAGCTGCACAAAAATCTCCACAAAGACCACCTCCACCAAGAAGTAATTTTAGTACTGCATCCTTTAATTTAGGTAATGATCAATTTGATCCAAATAAAAGAAAAAAAGAGAAAGATAAACCAGAAACTTCTGCACCTCCAGCAATCACGAAGTTTAAACCAGAAAAGAAAACTTCTACCAATGCTGCAAAAACTTTCATGGAACTAAAGAAAACAGACAATGCAGCTGAGGCTAAAAAGCCCTTAAAAGTGCCATCAGAGTTAAAAGATAAATTAAGTAGACCTGTATTAAAGCCAAGGGATAAACTTAGTATATCAAAACCTGTGGATAAACCTAGCTCATCAAAAACTGGGGATAAACCTAGTTCATCAAAAGTTGGGGATAAAAAGAGTTCATCATCATCTGGACATAAATTAGTTTCATCCAGAGGTCAGTCAAAATCTGAGGAAGACACTGATAAGCCCAGTGTAGCAGCCATGAAAGCTATGTTTGATCAAAATGACAGTCCAAAAATGTCTGGTCAAGGAACAGGAAACAGGCTACGCACTTGTCCCAAGCCAGGTTCTAAAGTCAGAAGTGTGAATGTGTGAATATATGCTAAACTGTATTGTATCTAGCCTTCATGTGTTATAAAATATGATAAGTTTTTGGGGAAAATCAACTTTAAACATATCATACATAACATAGCATAACATGGCATAACATAGCATAGCATAACATAACATAGACTAATGAGCATGAAAGTCACTTTTACTGTGCAATTTTGAAATTTAGAAAATGGAAATAAAAAATGATTAAATAATTAGAGAAAAATGTTTGACTAAAAAAAAGTTCAGAATTTAAGGACCAAAAATGAAAGCTATAAATTAAAAATTTTGCTCATGTTGTTAAGGGTAAAATAATACCATTTTTACTTATTTATTTCTCTCTGGATGCCCAATTTTTATGTTTTAGTGTTACTGAGGAAGGTTATTACAGAAATTGGCATTTAATGCATTGAAAAAAACCCAGAACATTTCATTTTGAATAAATATTCCATATTCTTGGGACATTTTTTAAGAAAGCTGCTTTGGATTTACTTTGTGAAATCAACAGTTTGTTTTTCATTGTAATTGTCTAGCAGTGACCCAAGAGATGACTGTCATGCCTGGTGTCTGTAACAAGCATGAAGAAAGGTGCTTCAAATTAAATTTCTTCTGAAAAATTTCATTTACTGCAAGTATTATGTGTTGCGAAAGATATCAACATTTGAAAACATTAATGCTGTAACATGTTTGAAACTTATGTCTATGATTCAAAGCTGTGATATGTTTTGATCAATTCAAATATTAAAACTTTTCAATTGAGAAATATTTCAGTAATCTCAGGTATCACTAAGGCATTTAAAACACTTCATTTTTTCTCTTCATGAAAAGAAGAAACACACTTATTGGATAAAAGTTTAATATTGCAGTTTTTGCCCCATTTTTATCTTTGAATTATAGTTTTTCATCACATCTTTTTATAAACGCAAGGTTCCAATATTTATGTGTTATGTTTTACATTGATTTTAAAAGATGATTTAATTTAATCAAATTTGTAAAATGTTTCATTTTATTTTTTCAAGGAATCTCTATTGGTGCAATATTTGATAGCTTATTTTATTTTATTTAAACATATTATATTAATTTTAATTGAAATTAATTATTTTGTCATTGAAATTTTGATTTTGATTTATATAAATTTCCTGTTACTATGTAATAATGAATTGCCAATAGTCCTTTCTTCTATTTGATATTTTTACTAAAATCAGATTGAAATATTAAAATATTCATGTAGTACTGTATTAATTATTAATAATTAAAAATTGATATCTCATTCATCTCTCATTTTCTGATTCTTTCCATGTTGTATGTTTTTTTAAAGATATACCTCACATACTATTTAACTGCAAAAACAATGATTTTTAGTCTTCCAATTGAAAAAAAAAAAGAATCAAAGACAAAATAACTTAAAATAATTACATTTCCTTTTTACCTCAATGCCACTAGTTATTTAGTAAACAACAATCATTCAGTGTTCTTACAAATTAATAGATTCGATTCTCAAAAATTACACTATTTTCTTAATTATTGGTGTTTTTTAAAGGAAGAAACTGTCATATAAATAGCAAAAACGTATTGATTTTTATTCAAGTGTGGTCTGTTAGATTTTTCTACTTCAGTTTTCACGATCACAATGTATGTTTAAATGAGCATTGATTTCATGTTACCAAATTTGTGAATATTGTTCATATATATTTTGATTGTTTTATTCTTGCCATAAAATATAAGAATCCTTTAGGACTGTTTAGTAGTGTTCCTCAGAATTAGGAAGAACACCTGATGTCATGAGGAGCAAAGTGTGCCATTTTATCACTTTTATTTTTCAAAATTCTTTTACCATATTGAAAATCTGTCTCGAGAAGAATCACATTGTTATTCATTTATTTTTGCATCTACAGTATTTTATTTGTTTAAAGAAATTGTATCATTTCTGTTAAAACTCCAATACATATAATCGTGCATGTTTAATAATTTTTAGGGGTCACACCAAGAAATTTTTAACTATTCAGAAAATTTCAATCATTTGCCAGGTCATCAAATAAAACATTAGTTCATTATATGATCTATTTTCAACCCTTTTCTATTACTTATATTACTTTTCCTGTGTAAAGTTAGAAATTTTCTGGCAAAATTGTCAACTCTCAAGATATTGATAGGAGCCTCCAAATACTTATTTTTTAATTTGGAAATATTCTGTAGTACCATCCCTTGGCAGGGATTTCAAACCTCCTGCTTAAGAGAAAATATCTTCCTATAGCCCTTTCCAGAAACTCCAAATGGGAATCATGAATTTTACTCTAAAATATAAAGCATTTCCCTTGTTGTGCAGTTGAACTGCAATGTACAATGCAGCTCAATGATGAGTCAGCAATTAACTATTTTAAATCCCTGTTGATTTAAAGATAGTATTTGGTCTATATAAATTTAAAAATAATTAATGATATTTTGCCTTCCAACATATTTGTAATCAAACTTGATAATAAAAATTGGAATGTTTGTAAATTAAAGTTACACATAGTTTTCTATTTACCATTTGACATTGTTCTGCTCTGCAATACACAATATAGAGTTCTCACACTTCCTAATATGTTGTTTTAGCTAGATTTTTCATTAGTTATTTATTAATATAAATTTTGAAAGTACAAATTTCTTTCACATAAAAAATTGAACTGCAAATACTGATAATTTACTAGTAAGCTCACTATCTTTATCTGTACATGTGTAAAATTTGAAAGTAAAACCAATCAATCAATAACTCAATGAGCAAATATCATTATAAAGATTAAAAAAGCATTGAAGTAACATTTTATCAAGGTGAAACAATATTGATTTTTAATATTTAAGACTCATCATTTATAACTTTTATCAATAAGCTTATAAAGCCAAAAAGAAACAAATTTTGTACTTGTTAACTTTAATTTTATAGATAAAAGATAGAATGAAATTGTTTTACCATACCAGAATTTGCTGTTCAAAAGAAGATTTAAATCATGAGCCTTTGGTGATAAACCTAACTTTTAATTGCCATTCATATATTATAAGAATTTTCCTCACAAAGTTTCTTTTCAACAATATTTAAGATAAACTGTAAATTTCTAACTGTAAGTGATATTCGATCAAGAGACTTCATTCATGGGGACATAAGAGCAATATATTCTAAATTGAAGTTTTACTTATTTGTCGTATGTACTTGTATCTTAAAGAAGTAACACATCATGCAGTGTTTATCCTGAGTGTTTTCCATGTTTCTTATTTATATTGACTTTTCACAATGGAGGTTTTAATGCTCATAATACAACTATAAATTTTCTTATTTTTAAAAGAATAATAGGAGAAAAGGTTTTATTTCCTAGTTCAGTTCATTGTGTATGACAATTTTCTTGTAGAGAATGTTTTATCTATATTCACTTTTATTGTTTAATATATATATTTTTATTTTGACAATGAAACTATTTATGTTTGATTACTTAAAAAGAAAAGATTGATTGTGTAAAGAGACAATGATAGATTACACGTAAATATCCATGTTATTCTTTTCATTTATTGTGCTTCTATTGTTTACTATGCATTACTTGCTTCCAAACATATCCTGGTGAATATGTTAAATTTTTTAGTTGTATGCATATATCAAATCTACATATTTATTTAAATAAAACATATTTGATCATCTTCTTGCAGTGTGTTTGATACTTCAGAACATCTGATGAAGGACCAATGAGCACTATTCATGTCTTGTTTTGTCCTTATCCTGTCCATCTATTAATAAGTCATTTAAAAAAAGAATTCTTTGAAACTACATAAGCAAAAAGCGCCAAAGTAGGCATGAATAATTGTTAAATGTGGAATCGTATTATTTATTTCACCTTCAACATTGCAGCTGAAAAACCAAATAGGACAAAAATGAACCAAATAATTTGTGTGACCTCTTTTTTATATGACTGCAAAAATTTTTACCTTATAATTGTATGAAGTTGTTGTCATCTTCCAAAGACATTGGTTTACAGACAATAACTTGAGTATAAGTGTATGGATCTCTATGAAATTGTATCACAAGGTTCCATGCCACAAAAGGAAGGTTGTTAATGTCCCAACTGTTTAGGAATTAGGGACCAAAAACAAGCATTTTTTCTTGTTTCAGAACAAGAACTTGCGTAAAAGTATATGGATCTCTACAAGGTTCCATAACTTAAAAGGGATTTGGATTGATTTTGGGGGTTATCGCCCAAACAGTTTAGGAATTAGGGGCCAAAAAAGGGTAAAAAAACAAGGATTTTCTTGTTTCCAGACAATAATTTGAGCATAAGTCTATGGATCTCTGAAATTGTACCACATGGTTCCATACCACAAAAGCAAGGTTGGGATTGATTTTGGGGGTTATAGCCCAAACCGTTTAGAAAAAGTTGCCAAAAAACAATACTTTTCTAATACTTCGTGTAAATTGCTTGTTTCTTGACCAATTACAATGGGGTTTAATACAAAGTCTTAATATGCTGAATCTAACCAAGTATTTAGAATTTGGATTTTGGGGTCCAAATGGTCTAAAATCAAATTTGTTTGATTTCATGAAAAAATAAATTATTGGAGTTCTTTAATATGCCGAACATAACTGTGTACTTAGATTTTGATTTAGGGCTCCGTTTTCAAACTGGTCAACTTTAAGGTCCAAAGGGTCCAAAATTAAACTTTGTTTGATTTCAATAAAAATTGAATTCTTGGGGTTCTTTGATATGCTGAATCTAACTGTGTATTTAGATTTTTAATTTTGGGCCAGGTTTTCAAATTGGTCCACATTATCCACATTAAGGTCTAAAGGGTCCAAAATGACGTGTGTAATAAGATTATTGTTTTTGGGCCTAGTTTTCAAGTTGGTCCAAAATTAAACTTTGTCCAGTTTCAACAAAAATTGAATATTTGAGGTTCTTTGATATGCTGAATCTAACCATGCATTTAGATTTTTGATATTGGACCATAATAGGTAAATGTCCAATTTAAAATTTAAGACCACATTCATTCTGTGTCAGAAACCTATGCTGTGTCAAATATTTAATCACAATCCAAATTCAGAGGTGTATCAAACTTGAATGTTGTGTCCATATTTGCCCCAGCTGTTGAAGGTTCCACCTCTGCGGTCTTAAAAAGCTACACCCTGCGGAGCATTTTCTTAAAATACCCTTTTAAGCTCACCTGGACCAAAGGGCCAAGTGAGCTTTTCTCATCACTTGGTGTATGTTGTCTATTGTCGTCTTCGTCTGTTAACTTTTACAATAATCTTCTCCTCTGAAACTACTGGGCCAAATTTAACCAAACTTAGCCACAATCATCATTATGGTTTCTAGCCTGCGAACCATGATGGCCGACATGGCTAAAAACAGAACATGGGGGAAAAAATGCAAGTTGTGTCTATTATTATGAAAACGGTACTAGATAAAGAAAATCTGACAGGTGCAAAAATGATCAGATTGTGTGTATACGTCAAAACTGTCAGACGACTTCTTATAGGAGTTATTGCCCTTAATTAAATGACAAGTTTTACCATTTTGTTTTATTTTTGCCTATTATCTTGAAGTCTATAATAGATAGAGAGAAACTTTAAGTTGCAAAAATGACCAGCAAAACAAGTTCTACAAATAAGTCCCATGGTCAACATCGTCAGTTGACTCCTTATTAGAGTTATTGCCCTTTGATGATGATTTTTACCTTTTTTTTTTGCGTTTTTGCCTTATATCTTAAAAATAATAATGAATAGAAAACTTAAATAAGCAAAAATGATCAGCAAGACAAGATCTACAATGAAAGCAACATAAAGGAAATCGTCGGATGACTCCTTATTGGAGTTATTGCCCTTTAATGATGATTTTTACCATTTTTTTGCATTTTACCTTATATAATAAAGATTATAATAGATAAATAGACACTTTAAATAACAAAAATGATCAGCAAGGCAAGATCTACTTCAAGTCAAATTTTGCTGATATACTTAGTAGACTGTCAATATTTATAGAAGTGAATGCCCTTAAATGAGGATATTTTTTACCCTCTGTTGTGTTTTGAGCAAAAAATAAAGAAGATAGAGAGAAACTAACCAAATTTAATTATCAGCAATACAAGATCAACAAAACAGATTTTTGTCATGAATTCTATTCTCGTCTACAATGGTCGAGAGTGTCCTTTGTTGAATATGCACATAGACCAAGGTGAGCGACACAGGCTCTTTAAAGCCTCTAGTTAAGGGTTATTCTTGAAACAGGTAGGCAATTCCAGCGCTTTGATGACATCTTGTTTCCATTGCTGTGCAGTTAAGTAATTGATTTCAATGTCTCAGGCTTGTTTTCACCTCCCTGATTTTCTTTCTTTCATAGTTGCTGAAGTAATTTCTAGTTGATTCCGAACAGATAAAAAAAAGTTGCAGATTTTTATGATTCATTATATGTTATCTTATTTTTTGTCATAAAACAAATGTATACTTTAAATAAAGATGATATGTAAAGTTTAGTCAGTGGAAAGGTACATACATATGCTATGCAATTAAGGCAATTTGCCCGACCTAAGCATATTTATCAGTTTGAAAAGATTAAATTTTATGATTAAAATTGATTTATACATGTAATTGAATTGTTAAACAAATAATTTTTTATTTATAACATGGAGTTTACTGGTGCAGTAAAAATTGGTACTGGGTTAAAGTTATAATTTGAATATTAATAACTTCAAAGATTACCTCAAAAAAAATAATTTTAAACAATATCAAAACAATGCAAAATGAAAGAAAGAAAAAAAAACTTTCAAAAAAGACCATTTCGTGGTGATGACACTTGGCCAAGCAAGATAGATTGATATCGATCTTAATATTTATAGCGCATTTACAGTGCAACATAAAAAAATACCGGTAGGTCTTTTTACAGCTGAACACCCCCCCCCCCAAAAAAAAATATTCTAAAACTATGAAAAAACCAATATTCTTTCATGTTATCTTATCTATTTCACGTATTTAAGTAAAAAGGTTAACAATTAAAAAGGAAACGAGACCAATCAATAACACCCAAAAGAGTAGAAGAGTCATCAACACTGCACAACACCACAGAACACCCATAATTATACTTTTTTATCTTCTTTTTTTAATTTATTTTAACTTTTGTTGTAATTAAGTAAAAAAAATAACAAATAAAAGTAAATGAGACCGAATCTTAACATCGCACAGAATAGGAGAGTAACCGACCACACTGAGTACCGTAAAACATCGCCGAACACAAGATTTTTTTTTTTTTTGCTATTTATTTTGTCTACTGGTTATAATTTAGTAGAGAGTTTCAACAAGTGTTATAGAAGGTTTGATAGGTTTATTAATGAAGTAGTGAGATAACAAATAAAAGGAAATAAGAACATATATTTACATCGAATAAACAAAAGAGTCGATGAACACAATGAAATATATTGTTTTAGCATTTTTAACAATGAAAAACACCGGCGTTTTGCATTAGCGCCGATCTGCATTTCATTTGCGCCGATTTTTTCTTTCATTTGCGCCGATTTTTATTTTTCATTTGCGCCGATTTTTTTACAGGTAAATTACAGGTGAATAGATATAAGAAGATGTGGTATGAGTGCCAAAGAGACAACTCTCCATCCAAGTCATGTTATTTTAATTTATCATTATAGACCTCTTCCGTTAGCCAGTTGTACAAATGTTATGAATTGTCAATCATAACATGTATATAACTGCTGTCCCCTGCTCACCACGGAGAGGTGGAAGTAGGATTTCGAGCAGGATAAGTCAATTTAAAAGCACTATATTCACATACTTTAAAATCAAGAAGTAAAAACCTAAGATAAAAGCACTCTGTTTATACTAAAATGACGAATTAAAAATCTATTTACAGCATTCAAATCCATAAAAACGGAATACATTAAAATCATAAATCTGTTCTTGTCGAGTATTTATAGGCAACACATCTTATATATTCCTTTCTTGTGATTTCGTCCCTTCTATATTTGTCGTAATTGTCAATAACGAAGTCCATCTTTTCTTTGTCTGGCTTACGTACTGATGCGGGCATTTCTAGAGTTCGCATTTTAACATACGTAACTGCCTGGATTATCTTTATAACATCCATAAAACATATATGTTGGGGTGGTGTGAATAAAATTGTTCGTTGTAATGGGAATGAAAAGATTCTGGACCGTTATTCGTTTCAGTGTGCGATATGTCCATCGTGTTACAACGAAGTTCCAGAACAATATGAATCAAAATTAACTTAAACCTAGTAAGTGAACAACGTTTATAAGCAGATTTTACCAATATACCTTCAAGGTATAGTACATGTACAAGTATTAACTTACCTGTACATCCAATTAGGAGCAAATATAAAATCGGCGCAAATAAAAAAAATGAAATCGGCGCAAATGAAAGAATGAAAATTTAAAAAAAATCGGCGCACATGTCATACGCCCGAAAAACACTTATACAAATAATAAGACTAAAGCTTTAATTTAAATAGATCGATGATACTGAATAATGATTATGAATATATTTGAGTTTAAATTATTTTGAAAGAGAATTAATCAAATTAATCAAATTCATTTGTTTTCTCAAGCAGTATTTGATATGTTCTTAATTAGATTAATTAAGCATTATAAACTTGTAATGAGATATCTAATTATAATATAAATAGCC